GCAACACACACACGCAGCAGCACACACACACGCAGCAGCACACACACACGCAGCAGCAACACACACACGCAGCAGCAACACACACACGCAGCAGCAACACACACACGCAGCAGCAACACATACACGCAGCAGCAACACACTCACGCAGCAGCAACACACACACGCAGCAGCAACACACACACGCAGCAGCAACACACACACGCAGCAGCAACACACACTCACGCAGCAGCAACACACACACGCAGCAGCAACACACACACGCAGCAGCAACACACACACGCAGCAGCAACACATACACGCAGCAGCAACACACACACGCAGCAGCAACACACTCACGCAGCAGCACACACACTCACGCAGCAGCACACACACACGCAGCAGCAACACACTCACGCAGCAGCAACACACTCAGCAGCAACACACACACGCAGCAAACACACACACGCAGCAGCAACACACTCACGCAGCAGCAACACACTCACGCAGCAACACACACACACGCAGCAGCACACACACACGCTAGCAGCAACACACTCACGCAGCAGCAACACACTCACGCAGGCAGCAACACACACACGCAGCAGCAACACACACACGCAGCAACACACACTCACGCAGCAACACACACACACGCAGCAGCAACACACTCACGCAGCCAGCAACACACTCACGCACGCAACACACACTCACGCAGCAACACACACACACGCAGCAGCAACACACTCACGCAGCAGCAACACACTCACGCAGCAGCAACACACACACGCAGCAGCAACACACTCACGCAGCAGCAACACACTCACGCAGCAGCAACACACTCACGCCGCAACACACACACACGCAGCAGCACACACACACGCAGCAGCAACACACTCACGCAGCAGCACACACTCACGCAGCAGCAACACACTCACGCAGCAGCACACACACTCACGCAGCAGCACACACTCACGCAGCAGCAACACACTCACGCAGCAGCAACACACTCACGCAGCAGCAACACACTCACGCAGCAGCACACACACACGCAGCAGCAACACACTCACGCAGCAGCAACACACTCACGCAGCAGCAACACACTCACGCAGCAGCACACACACACGCAGCAGCAACACACTCACGCAGCAGCACACACTCACGCAGCAGCAACACACTCACGCAGCAGCACACACACTCACGCAGCAGCACACACTCACGCAGCAGCACACACTCACGCAGCAGCAACACACACACGCAGCAGCACACACACACGCAGCAGCAACACATACACGCAGCAGCACACACACACGCAGCAGCACACACACACGCAGCAGCACACACACACGCAGCAGCAACACATACACGCAGCAGCACACACACACGCAGCAGCACACACTCACGCAGCAGCACACACACACGCAGCAGCAACACATACACGCAGCAGCACACACACACGCAGCAGCACACACACTCACGCAGCAGCACACACTCACGCAGCAGCACACACACACGCAGCAGCACACACTCACGCAGCAGCACACACACACGCAGCAGCACACACACACGCAGCAGCACACACTCACGCAGCAGCACACACACACGCAGCAGCACACACGCACGCAGCAACACACACACACGCAGCAGCAACACACACACACGCAGCAGCAACACACACACGCAGCAGCACACACACACGCAGCAGCACACACACACGCAGCAGCACACACTCACGCAGCAGCACACACACACGCAGCAGCACACACACACGCAGCAGCACACACACACGCAGCAGCACACACACACGCAGCAGCACACACGCAGCAGCACACACGCAGCAGCACACACACGCAGCAGCACACACTCACGCAGCAGCACGCGCACACGCAGCAGCACACACGCAGCAGCACGCGCACACCGATACGTCGGTACGCAGAACCCAGCACATGCGCATCCACACATCGACGCACACGTACCGACGTGTCAACACGCACACGGACGTCAACATGCACAACCGAGCACATCAACACGTGCACACTGAGACATAACCATACACGCATCAACCACGCATCCTGTCTGCATCAGCTTGAATAATGGACGCAAGCACGCAGAATGAATAGGCATGCTGAATGAGTTATGATTTGGGAATATCAGAGTCAAAGTGTCATCCTCAAACGAGCATTCGGATGGCACTCTCTGTCCACATCGGCAATCCTAAGCCAGCGGTGGAAATTCCACATTCCCATGGTGCAGGCCGGGTTGTCCATAGGATGATCACTGTTGGCATACACACGAAGGTAGACTCTCTGGTTCTTTCGGTAAAGTCACGACGTTTCGGTCGCAACACAAGCGTCTGTCGTCAGGTGAGAAAGAATGATCTGCTGTTGTGGCTTTATATAGGCACGGGAGGGGGTGAAGGCGGGGTTGGTGCTTTGTAGAGTCGTGGCTGCAGGAGATTCACGGGGGAGAGGGGGGAGGGTTTGTGCCGTGCAGGGACTGGTGGGGGCTAGAGAAATTAGCATATCAATGAGCAGAAAACAGCATGGGTTTAAGAGTGAGAATTACAGCAGTTAAAACTTGACGTGGCTTATCACGTCCTTCCAATGATTGCTCAATCTGAATCCATCTTCTCGATTAAAGCTTTGTCTGTGTTTGTATATCTGGATGGCTTCGTGAACAAATCTCTGATGGTAGCCCGAGGGTTTGCAGAGCACGTTGGTCTCGGGCAACATAATGTCATGTGGGCGTTGAAACAATGATCCGCCACCGCCGAGGTGTTGGTTCTACCTGATGACGGACGCTTTGTGTTGCGACCGAAACGTCGTGTTCTTTTATTATTTTTTCTTCTTCTATCTACGTGACTTTACCAAAAGAACCATAGAGTCTAGATTCCCGCAGTCGCGAAAGCTTCAAATCAACACGAAGGTATACTCCGCAGACGATGTCTGCCCATGCGTTACAATGCGCATGCGCACGTAACAACAAAATGTGTTTCATGTACAGGGCAAGTCACCGTGACATGCGTCTTTGGGCAAATAATTTAGAGAAGGTGTGAACGCAGTAACCTCTCCGCCGTTCTCCTTGCAGCGCGGCGGCAGTAGCTCACGCCACACGCAGCTGCCTTCCCCGTAACACAGACAAACAGAGCACGAGTTGCTTTGGTAACAATATTTGTTTTTTTGACTTGAGCATCAACTCTCTGTTGTAGCACTTAATCAATACAGGCCACGCGGGTTAGGCAGGGCTGAAGTCAAGGACACGTGTGCGTGTGTGTGGACATACGTCGTGTAAGGGGACAGCATCGACCAGCAGCATACAGAGTGTACCGACATTTCTATCACTACTGCGCACACCCTAAGTTCACATTACGTAAGTCTTTTTTGTAATCTTGTGACTTTACGAAGACGTAGAGAGGTAAGGAAATGGAGTGGCCGCACAGTGATTCACGCTCTGCGTTATTAAGCCAGCGATCTGAGCTCAATTTCCTTTGCCATGGCTCAGATCAATGAAGGGCGATACACCAGTCAGTACTGTGCCCCCACCCCCGCCCCCACATTAGCCACCTTTACTGACCAGTGTAGTGAAATATGGTCGAACAACCCCAATGACTGACATCGCTTGGGGAGGCCTCAATTTTCTTAACATCCCAATGCAAGAAACTCCCGAAAAAGACCCATTAGACTCTGTGAGGCTTTCTTAAGTACATAAAGGCCATAATTTTTTGTTATTATCAATATTATTTTTACATTGCCGATTAATATATGTGAGTGGTTCTCCTCTGCTGTGGGACTGAGGGCCCTCGACATCGGTCATAAAAGTCTCACTTGCTCACTTTGCAGTGAGCGCTGGTCAGAGGCCAATTTTCCGTATTGCTTTAGTGCAAGACGATAGTGTCGATCAATCAATCAATTTTTATTGTACGTGCCAATGTCACCCTCAATAAAGTGGGCATCAGTGCACTTCACAGCAGAACGGGAACGGCATAGGGGGGCACAGAGAAACAGGAATGAAAAGGAACGCGTCACGAACCTCAGCGACTAACACCGACTGAGAAAATGTAATTCCAACCACTCGCAAAATAAAACAAACCGCCCGCAAAGATAAATTGTACAGAGAAGATTTATAAATATTGTGAATTTCATTCACAACCAAGTGGAGGCAGTGGTGGAGTGTAGATGGCAAATGCCCTTCCCTGGTGCAAATAATCACATGGGGTCCCTAGTCCAATTTCCCCCGCTCTTCGTAACCAGGCACCCGAGCTCGTGCAGCCCGCATGCTTCCGCTTGGTGGTAAATAAAGTTAATGTTCGTATGCATATACGTACATTAACGTGCCTAAACGTCTTAATAAAAAGTAACACTGAAAAAATTAACCCGTAAAAACAAAGTTTTTCACTATAAATCCTTTATATGCGTGGCGGCTAGAGTCCTCTCGTCCTCTGTTTTGAGATGGCTGCCACCTATTGGTCAGATGATTGTCTGCCACCATTAAGCAATTGGTAAATAAATATTTTAAAAAAAATTCCCTAAACAATGTAACATTTTTGAATTGTTTTCACGAAAATTAATTGTCACGCACAACGAGTCTGTGTACAAAATGTCAGCTCGATTGGATCACGGGAAGTGGGTTAAAAAACGACCGAAAGATTTGCACGGTCGTAAGCAAGCAAGCACGCAAGCAAGCATGCAAGTGAAATTGATATAAAGGATTTAAAAATAGACCCACACCTCCTACCACCTGTGCACTTAATAGCGATGCCACTGGGTAAAAGCCCATGGCATTGAGCAAAAACGTTTGGTTTGCAAGGGAGACCTGGAAATGCACCAACAGTGGTGGAAGCCAGACCAATGAGGGATGTGCGTGGAAAAGCATTGGTGGTTACTGGCGTGGGGATAAAGGCAGCGGGGACTCCCTTTGGGCCCTTTGGCCTTTTTGTGGGACCCCGTAATGACGCTCGGGGGACCACCCCTCGAGAGCGTCGGTTGTCACGCTCGCGATGCCGCACGTGCGCGCCCTTCGTGCAGACGGCTGCTCGACTCGGAGGATGAGCTGGGCGACATCAGCTCGGAGGCCGTGCCGGCCGAGGTGCGGGACTGGCTCGCGTCCACCTTCACGCGCCGCATGGGCGTCACGGCGCGCCGGCCGGAGGACAAGCCCCGCTTCCGCAGCATCGTGCACGCCGTGCAGGCGGGCATCTTCGTGGAGAGGTGCGTCGGGAGCATACGGACAGCGCAGTGGGTTACCGCACTACGGTACTACTAAGCTAGATTAATAAACACTTTTTTTATTGTGCCAGGTAAGGCCCACTGAGCTGTATAGCTCCGCCGATTAGCACGGTTGGCTACGTACGGTGCGAAAGAAGTTCAACATACATACATCTGTATTTTTAAGAGGTGACCTGGCCCTATATGACAGTTCAACGAAGTGGGTTATCGCATGGGAATTTATAGCAGCCAAAAACTCCAAATACATGTTGATTCTAAATGTGGAGGGGGAAAACCCAGAGGACCTGGAGAAACATCTACGCGACCACAGGGAGAACATGCAAACTCCAAATATACAGGCATCAGCGTCGCGATCGAACCCACGACCTCCTGCATACCAGGCGAGGTAATTAACATCTCGCCACAATGGCGCCCACAAACCCGACAACCTGGCTTCAATCCTCACCCACGGACAACATGAGCGGCAAATATCTGAACCGGTCTTGGGGCCTCCCCTAGGTCGACTCAGCTTTAAATTAGTACACGGTGTGTTGTGTAAACATTGGAAATCAGGTGACAATGGTTGCTAGGCGTGATGCTGACCACACCATACATAGGGACTTGTGAGCAACCCTTGCCCCACATGAGCAACCCTAATGTCTATCTGTGAATTAACTTGAACGTATTCAAGTGCGGTGGCTCATGTCTGTGATCCAGCATTTTGGAGGCAAGGGTTTGTGGATCACGCAGAGCTTTGAGGAATTCCCAAATGCAATGGACTGCGAAGTGGTTTGGAAATGGCAGCACAACAAAGGGTGTTCCTGATTCCACTGTGCGGACGTTTGAGCATTATTCATGCGTATGCGTGGTGGGTTTTCTGCGGATTCTGCAGCTTCCTCCCATATCCCTGTCACTCAATAATATGGAATTGGCCAAATGTGTCAATGTATGATTCTCCTGAGTAGGAGTCTCTTTTGAAAGGAGACCTAGTGAGGATTTCCCTGATAAATGAATATATGAGACAAATTATTAATTCCAAAATCGTACAGCTGTAGTCATTATATACTTTGTGTTTATTTGTTGTATGTTAAACTTCTTTCGCACCGAACGTAGCCAACCATGCTAATGGAGGTGCGGGACAGTTGTATGCTATGCACACCTGGCGACTTATGTTCAAACCGTTTTCACATTTATTTGTCTGTACTGCCGAACGCCGGCAATGCCTAAGTCGGGGCTTTGCAGTTCCGTGCGGTTGTTTTTTCTGCAAAAGCAGCATACTCTCATTCACGTTGTCGATACACTTTCATTACATTAGAGGCCACACAAATCCACGTTCACGTCAGTGTCTACCCATGAATAATGTTTAATCTGTAACATTTGTGCACCATTGTGCATGGAACGTATTTCCAATTATTTTTTTTAATTACATTCGATCATGATCACTTCATAATTGGCTCTATTGAGCACAGCGAGAATAATACTAATAAATAAATAACGCATATGCCAGAACAAATTAGTTGCACAAGCGTATCGCCTTTTTTGCAAACTGTGTGAATACCGCAAGCGTGTGTGTTTTTTACGTGTGCAGGATGTACCGGCGCACATCCAACATGGTCGGCCTCAGCTATCCACCGAACGTTCTGGTGGCACTGAAGGCAAGTTGGGCCCTCACACGCGATGGAGAAGGTGGACAGGTGGCTGAGGAGGAGAAGGCGGGGGGGGGAGGCTAATTTCAAGGCAGAGAAGTCACCTGACACCACTGAGACATCTGGACTTGGAATCCAGATAAACTGGGTTCTTTTTAGAATTATTTTTAAATTCAAGAATCTAGAATGCAAAGTAGATTTCAGAGAGGGGGGAAAACAGCAAATAACATGGAATAAACCCAGAGCGATACACCCTCAAAATTAGGGACTGACTGTGAGAGTCCTGGCTCGCTGCCCTACCGTGGTAGGGGGATCGATCGAGAGCAGTCTATTACTGGTAGGAACCACCTGGTTCCACCAGCCCACAGGGGATTATTGTGTCCGTCCGTCCGTCGTGCATCCAAAAATGGGAGGGGTGGGGCTGGATGGAGAGGGGAGGGTTGGGAGGGGCTGGGTGGGGAGGGTGGGGAGGGGAGGGTGGGGAGGGGCTGGGTGGGGAGGGTGGAGAGGGGCTGGGTGGGGAGGGTGGGGCTGGGTGGGGGGTGGGAGGGGTGGCGCTGGGTGGGGAGGGTGTAGCTGGGTGGGGGGTGGGAGGGGTGGGGCTGGGTGGGGAGGGGCTGGTCACCCCGTGGTGTCCTTATAAAACTCAACGTTTAACCTACTCACGCCGGCTTGTGCCCGCCCTCACAGTCGGGCATATTTGCGGAATACACCACGACGCCGTTGACCCTGGCCATTGACCGAGCAACCCAACGTTCCTACCAGCTCCCTCTGCAGGAATGTGTTTATGGAGGAGTTGAAGGAGATGAAAGAAGGGGGAAGGGCAGTGGGAAGTAAACTGCGGTCTTTAGAGTAGCGAGTTGATGGTCTCAACCCAGTCAACGATTGTACAACAAAACTTCCATATGAGATCTAGTACAAGTAGTCCTCTACTTACGATGGATATGCGTTACGACGACCCCATCGTAAGTCAAAAATATCGTAAGTCGAAGATGGCCTCGCCTACCCAGGAGTCTTAAAGAATGGTGATAATTTAGCAAAACAGAGCAATTTACAGTACCGTACTGTATAAACTATATACTGTATGTATTAATTACTTACTTACAATACTGTATTGCACAGTAAAATATGAAGTAAAAAGACAAGGTAAATTCTTAGCCTACCTATATGAACTGCAATTTAATAGAACGTTTTTTCAGGAAACAATCCTATCTGCTATATAAATAAAAAAAACTTTTAACATGCATTGAATGTATCGTATCGTGGTAACCCTGAAATGAAATCCCTGAGAGTGAGGCATCACACAAGGCGGGAGATGCGTACATCCCGGCAGCGTCCCAACTTATAGTATCGTACCCCGTACGGTGCTGTGGTTGCCTGCCGCGCGAAATTTAAAATATTTAACAATCGCTATCGCCATCGTAAGATCGAAATATCGTAAGTCGGACCATCGTAACTCGGGGACTATCTGTATTCCACTTAATTTGACATGTTCAAGCGATGAGGACAAACATTCAGTTTGGCTGCCATCATGACAAATACGTCAACAGTAGGGCGCGTGCGATGGTGCATGGCCTAATGCTCACAAAATATATTTTAAGCGAATTCAGAAGTACTTTTGTGATGTGTCACTCCAAAAGACGTTCTCGAACAAGAAAGCTCCAAATTAAAATGGCTTAACCAAACGACGTGACGCTGATGAGACAATCGGAACGTAATATGCGAGGATGAAAAAAACATCAAAGAGGGTGCTCGTACACCCCCGCTCGCACGGTCATCGAAGCGGAAATTAAATGGAGTTTGAACACTGAATTAAGCTCGAGTGTCAAATTATCGGCTATGAATTGCAACAGACCGCGAGCCCGCGACAATACGCCGATCGCACACGGAGAAGGAAGGAAACTTCGCAGGTACAGCAGCCCCATTTTTGGCGCGACGGGACCTCACGAAGCAGGGGTGGTGTGGGGGAGGTTCGGAGTGGGGGGGAACTTGGACTCGCTGCCACCACCCAAATGGGAACCACCTGCAGTGGAGACGAAGGTTTATTACATGGAGGGGAAAGGGGTAAGGGGAGAGGTAACTAACATCCTGGTTTAACACGTAGGCTTCCACGACCAATGGTATCTATTAAAACGAGGAGGGTTTTATTGTTGGGTTAGATAGCGTAAATAAAAAAATGTGTCATTGAACCCGCAACCACCCGACACAGCCAATTCTGGCTGTCGCCGAATGAGGCTAGTTGTAATTACAGGTGAAACATCGAACTCGCATTGTAAATGTTGTGGGTTTACTCTCCAACACACACGCACACACCGGTGTGCTGAACTAGTATCTGATTGACAAGTTTTGTTCACGTGACAAGCCTAATTGGCTTGTGTCGGGTAGTGGCGGGTTTAACAACACATTTATATTTACATGATCTATTATGGATAACTAACACACTGTGGGAAGAAAAGGAGTCAGGGGAGGGAGGAAGAGAGAAGGGGAGAAGGGAAGCAAATGTAAACCCTACGAATAAAAATAATCACGCGTCATTTGACATTAAGTGCTAAGCTCCACACCGAGCGATGCTCCGTATCCGCCCGATACTCTTAGACCAACCTTCCACCGGGTATTCATTCCCTCGTGCTCCGCAGGACGTGAACAAGTGGTCGTTCGACGTGTTTGTGCTGAACGAGGCGAGTGGAGAGCACGCACTCAAGTTCGTCATGCACGAGCTGCTCACGAGATACGAGCTCATCTCGAGATACAAGGTGGGGGAAGCCACGCTGAACAGATGTTATCTCTCATCGCCTGGTTTGCAGGAGGTCGTGGTTTCGATCCCGACCCTGATGCCTGCTGCATATTTGGAGTTTGCCGTGTCTCTCCCTTTCTCTCCCCGTGGCCGCGTGGATTTTTGTCCGGGTCCTCTGGGTTAATCCCTCCATATTTAGTGTTTTGATTATTTGGCTGCTATGAATTGCCACGTGATTATAAGCCACTTAGTTGGGCTATCATTTGTGACCAGGTCGCTTCTGAAAAGAGCGAATAGCTCAGTAGGCTTTCACCTGGCAAAAAATAAAAATAGAAGAAGGTGCGTTGCCATAGAGAGGCTGCTCGTGATTAAGGTTTGACTTGAGAGAGGGGGAGAGCTGCAAGAAGAGACATGCAGCGAAGAATAATGGGATCTTGAACGTCCCCAGTGCGAAGCACACGGCACTTAATTTTGTTTCATACGCCTGCAGTATTAACCAGGGCGGCCCGCCGGGTTTGAACTGCAAACCTCTGCAACAAGCAGCTAACAATGCTACTACTCGGTAACATTACCACCCTCTAAGGGAGGTCCAGCACACCTTCAGATAAGATTTACTTAACCCTAGATGCCCCTTGAAAAAGATACTGCTGGTCTCCATAGGTTTTCAGATGGTTATAAACATCAGCTACAAATAGCGGAAGTAATTGCCACTGGTGTTATCCATGGCTGGGAATTAGACCAAGGTCACTGGGATTTCACTGCAGTGTACTAACCAGTGTATGTATGTATATTGAATTTAATTCGCACCGTATGTAGCCAGGTGGCCGCAAGAGGCTTCTCGACAACCATGCTAATCAGAGGTGTTGTGTCCCACTCCACTCCCACTCCAACACGCATTGTTACGTAACGATGCCGCATCGGGGGGGGGGGGGGGGGGTGAGGGGGTGTCGTACTGGATGATCCGGATGACCGGCGCGTCGTACTGGCATGCGCTTACCCGTGCAGATTCCCGTCGCAGCGCTGGTGTCGTTCGTGGAGGCGCTGGAGGCGGGCTACAGCAAGCACAAGAACCCGTACCACAACCTGGCGCATGCCGCCGACGTCACCCAGACCGTGCACTACCTACTCCTGCAGTCGGGCCTCATGGTGCGTGCAGCCTCCGACACAAACAAAGACAAAGATCCCCCGTGTCGTCTTAATTGACTGTTGGGGCAAGTGCTGTTAGCTAGCACCTGTGACGGGCCGGTATGGCACACGAGGGGGTGGGTGACCAGCAACACGCCTGGCCGCATTTTGTCTCCCCGGTGACGAGCTTACACACCACACCAGGTACTTATTTGAGGCTGAGTCGACCTAGAGAAGGCCCAGGACCGGTTCAGATATGCCTCACTGATGTTGGCCGTGAACTGAGGTCGCCGAGTTTGGAGCGCTGCGTGCTAACCGCTAAACTACCACACCACCCAGCCACAACATGCGCACGCACGCACACATTCGGGCGCTCGTCGACATTCAGGCATGAGCGAACATCTGTGAGCGAGCATCTGTGAGTGAAGTTGTGCGAACGAGCGCACGCACGAGCGGACAATTGGAGCGATTTCTGGCGGGCCTGCAGGATTACTGGGTCAAACGCGTGCACGCCTGCGTTGCTGCGTGCGTTGCCTGTGCCATTGCTTTGCTACGAGAAAGTGCCCAAAACAAGTATCCCTCGCACTCTCCCTTCTCCATATAGTAAAATGGACTGTTAATGTAAGTGCTACTAGCGAGCACCTATTACAGCAATTGTGGCATATAAGGGGATGGGTGTGTCCTTGGTTGTGTTCCAATTTACAACATTGCACTCGGTACTCATTCAAGAGTCAGCCTTAGGGGAGGCCAATAATATGTTATGATAAAATTTGCCACTGCCATAAAACCACGGCTGGAATTCGGGCTCTGCTGACCATGTTGGCAATGCAGTGCAGCTAAGCACTACCACCACTGTACACAGGCACACACGAGAAAATGTACACACACGCGCGCACACAGGATCACGGGCCAGAGTCTCATCTTAATGAAACGGTGGAAGGAAATCGACCTCGGTGATTTTCTTTCTCTCTTGGCAGTGAATAAATTGGGATGGTCTCACCAAAACACTGGATGAAAAAGCACATGAGCTCACTTGTGATTCTGTGCCCCCATTGCATTATTCCTCCAGGCTCAAGGCAAGTGCTGACAGCCGGTGTGTGTGTGTTGGCACCTGGGTTGTGTAAGAGGGGGCACTGTGGCCTCCACAGTCACTCCCCCCCCCCCCCGTGCTCGTGTGTCGGTTATTTACCAAGCTCCTTCATTGGAACCTCAGTAAAAAATATGATAATTGTTTTTTCACCCTTCTATCTGACAACAAAACTGACATCTTTTTTAAAAGGAGTCATGTTTACATAGACCACAATACCTGCAGTCATAATGCAAAAAAAACACAACTCTGAAAATGGATGCACTGTCCTTGAAGTTGGTTGGTCCACACCCGAGACAGCTTTCCTTAGAGCCTAGTCTCATATGGGTTGGACCAGATGACGCCAAAAGGCGTCATCTGGTCTCATCTGGTCTCGGGTGTGGACCAATCAACTTCAAGGACAGTGCATACATTATCAGAGTTATGTTTTTGTTTGCATTATGACTGCAGGTATTATGGTCTATGCAAACATGACTCCTTGTAAAAAAGGTGTCAGTTTTGTTACCAAGCTCCTGTTAAGATCAGCACGGCACATGAGAAGGTGTGAGGGGCCAACGCCAATCGCGACCGAAACGCTTTTGGATTTACATCGTTCATGTTGTCACATTGACGGCCCTGAACAGCGTGGAGGAAATTACACATGCCCGTGGCCACAGCCAATATATTCGTAGACTAACCACTGGTTGGCATCCTATAAAGTGGTACTTATTTAAACGTACCTGAAGAGATGATGGGCTGACACAAACTACACCAGGCAGTTTGAGTCGACCTAAAGAAGGTCCACACTAGCGTCATATCACACAGGGCATTGAGTCTCTGTCGCGTTAAAAAAATATCTACTCTGACAAACAGTGTTGCAGCTAATCAGTAGCATTAATTTTGTCCCTAATCCCAACCCCCTTCGCAATCTACCTTCTCACACACGTCGTTATGGTGGGCCCATTAACACGCCCATGAGTTACACTGACTTATTGCACCACTAGCAAGCGGCCCGAATCAATAACTCAGCTTGCCTGCTCACGAGACAACAGCGGCCCCTGATTACTAATTATCTTGCACCGCAATAAACAAGTCACATTCCAGTGGCGCTGCTCGCGTACCAGATTGAGAAGCATGGGCCATTAAGCATTGCATTTAACATTGCGACACATCAACCAATTACGATCCCGCGAGTCCACCCTCCGGCACTACAACTAAGACTGCGCATGGCTTATTCTTTCCACGTTAACGCTTCGCACACTTCCGTAGACCGGTAGATGTGAAATCATACTGGTAGGAACCTCCTGGTTACACCAGCCCACAGGGGATTATTGTGTCCGTCGTGCAGGGAGGGGCTGGGTGGGGAGGGGGGGGCTGGGTGGGGAGGGTGGGGAGGGGCTGGGTGGGAGGGTGGGGCTGGGTGGGGAGGGGAGGGTAGGGAGGGGCTGGGTGGGGAGGGTGGGGAGGGGCTGGGTGGGGAGGGTCGGGAAGGGCTGGGTGGGGAGGGTGGGGCTGGGTGGGGTGGGTGGGGAGGGGCTGGGTGGGGCTGGGTGGGGCTGGGTGGGGGGTGGGAGGGGTGGGGCTGGGTGGGGAGGGGCTGGTCACCCCGTGGTGCCCTTATAAAACTCAACGTTTAACCTACTCACGCCGGCTTGTGCACGCCCTCACAGTCGGGCATATTTGCGGAATACACCACGCCGCCGTTGACCCTGGCCATTGACCGAGCAACCCAACGTTCCTACCAGCTCCCTCCGCAGGAATGTGTTAGACTGTAGGGGATTGGGAACGGTAGAATCGGCATACCCTGTTTCCTGAGAACAATTTAATCTGTGGGATAGTTTGAAAGATTTAAAGCATTGCAACTGTAATACCCATGAAGCAATTTGCATGGTGGCCCAGGAGAAGCAACTAAAACATGGCCTGTCTCTTCTTTGTAAACGATTTATTGCATATAATAGTACACATCGAGGACAGTCCTGTAAATAACCATAATGATATATTATTCTCACTCAAAGAAACATGTTGTTATCTTTCCAGATAAACACCTGGCAGTGAACTCTCTAAAGAAATTCTATTTTAAAGCAAGCGTCTAATTTTGCAACTTGCAAAACGTTAAATTCAATGTAAGCTTCAGGTTAATGGAACCAAGTGACGCAGAATAAAGGGAAGAGATAGAGACAGGACGAACGAGACTGCACAAGCATGGCAAACCGATAAAAACATTTATACAGTCATGACCCCCAAAATCATGAGTATTCATCGACCCGTGCGAGGGTCGTGGTTGGGGGGGGGGTGGGGGAGGCAGGTGTGAAGCGTTGCCACGTCTCGTGAGCGGGGAGCGACGTCGTGAACGCCGGAAGCCTCCTAGATGCGAAAGGGTCAAGAAATATTTGCCATTGATGGTTCCATGCGGGACACCTCCCGCGAGACGCTACAGAACGCGTGCGCAATGCCGTGCACGTTCGAGGGCCTTCAGCTTGACATTTTCCTAAAGCTCTGGGCTAACGTTGTCCTGCGGGGCGAAAAGGCCTTTGAGTTTAAAGGGGAGGATGGAGAACCGGGAGGCTCCGGCTTGCGTATTAAATAATAACGGTACTCGTGATGAATTTGTACAACATTTAAATTGCATCTGAGTGAGCGTCGCTACGGAGAATCCATCGCAATTCAACAAGAGGGGAGAAAATTGTGGCATGGACATTAACATCGTTTCACCGCAATTTGGAATGGATTTCTGAAATTGTTTCTCATTGGGTCCTTTTCCCTGGGGGTCTCTTTGGTTCGATTTGAAACGATAGCAGCGTGGGCGCTAACAAACTGTGTTACCCAAGAACAGCTTTCCCTTACAATTGGTTATTAGCTAGGGCCATAGTCCACCACCATAAACTGCATCCGCACAAACCATTGCAGTAGATGCGGATACCTGATGCAAAAATGGAAAATGTTCAACTGTCCAATGTGCGACTGTGGTCATCCAGAACAGACCGTGCAACATATAACGACGCAATGCCCGATCCACAAATACGAAGGAGATATCGAAGCGATACACTCCGCTGTCTCCTGACGCCGTTGTCTGGCTTGACCACCTGAATGTGAAGTTGTACTTGCTGCTCTGCAGCTACATGAGCCGTACGAAAAAGGAGGAAAAAGATGGTGAATAAAGCAAGTGGTATAGGTAGGGCTGCGGCGTAGAAGTGCCACAGAGGTTAGCAGCACTCTGCTATGAATCCGGTGACCTGAGTTTAGTTCCCAGCCATGGCATCCTTTCGCCAACCTGCACTGGCCAGTGGGGTGAAGTATGGTCGAGCAACCCTCATAACCCACGTGACATGGAGATAGACCTTTATCCGGCAATGGATTGACAACACTTGTAAATTATTAATTTAATGTTTGAAGGCACGGCTAGAAAATACAAAATGAAAATTGAATTTAATTGGCATGACGAAAGTAGTGGTGAAATTGCTTTGCAGTTCTAAATAAGTAAGATATTTTGAGAATTAATTTAACATTTAAGTAATCTCGGTCATACAATGAAAAATGATGAGTAGCGTCATTATGGAGAATATAAAGTAACACGTAGATATGTAATCAATGTCTCCTTCAAGTACATGTCTCCACGCGTTAAAAAAAATTACACAAACCCATTGGCACCACAGCCTTCTGGCACATTGTCTGTCGCTTGTATATTTTGTCAGCTATGTAAGCCAGCCTGCGACCCAATTCGATTGGCGCTGTGTTGACCTGTGAGTTGACCTGAAATCGAGCTGAAGGACGACTGTCAGTGATCAACACAAAAACTGGAATGTCTATATTTTTGGTTAAGTTACTTGAGTTACACTCGAGGTGAGCATCTCTCTGCCAGATATACATCCGAGTCAGATGATTCAGCCCACTTCGCTGATGAAAATTTGTGTTAAATTACATTTGATAATCCCGCAGGCCGAGAAAAAAAATTTTTTTTTGCTTGACACGTTTGATGAGTTATTCCTACTCGGCCAAATCCCTGATGTGGGATGTCAAGCCAACTGGTGAAGCGAAATTGGCCAGGAGACTCTCTGGGCTCCCAGCTTGAAGCGGCAACCAAGTTGAGTTGAGAACGAAACTCACGGAGACGCAGAACAGCTCGAGTGTGTACACTGTGTGACTTGCGGGAGCGCGCTATATGGGGCAAAACTGCTGCGTGGCTACGACCCAACTATGTATGTACATTGAAATTCGTTCGCGCCGTACGTAGCCAACCGTGCTAAATCGGAGGGTGTGGGGAAGGACAACAAATTAAACTGTAAACTATTTAAACGAAACAATGTTTATTGTACCAGGTAAAGCCCACTGAGCCGTGTAGCTCTTTTTCAGACGCGACCTGGCTACAGATGATAGCTCAACGAAGTGGCTTATCCCGTGGAAACTTATCGCAGACGTATTCTAAACGCGTGTTTATAAACGTGGAGGAGAAAACTGGAGGACCCGGAGAAAAATCCACACCAACCACAGGGAGAACGTGCAAACTCCAAATATACAAACGTCAGGGTCGGGATTGAACCCTGTACCTCCTGCATACCAGGCGAGGTAGTTAACACCTCGCCACCGTGGCATCTCAAACACAAAATAACATTTCTAAATAAGTTAGTTTTACATTTGTATTTAAAAGTGCATAGCTCCAGTCCCAGTGGCTTCCGAATAAGATGGACGGTGAACACAACCACACTTTACACGTACTGAATGTTGTCCCCTAATATTCGTGATTGGTTTTCTCCGGCTGCTCGGATTAAAATTGGCCAAACATCCCAATGTCCTACCATCTTGATGCTTTCTTGTGTAAATAAAATGCAGGACTCATCTTAGTTATTATTAATTGTCATGATTATTCAACTGCTGGATGAAGGCCTCCCCATACTGTTGTCATCCATTACAGTCTTGTGGTGCCATCATCCATCTTGCTCCTGCACATGAATTAGTCACTGGGATGTTGGCTATCAACAACAAGGCAACTCCTATGACTAATTGGCAATGGGACGTAAGCGTAGGATTGATCACCCTGTCGCTGGCCGCCTTTGGGGAGGGTGTATAGTGTGAAAGGCCGAAACACCATAGGAACCAAAGGTACACTACTGACGATGCGCTCCCCAAATTTCACCAGGCTCACTGTTCATGAACTCTTGGAAGTGCTTGCACAAAGGATAGTAACATCTCATCCTGTGTTCTTGGAATCTCCATCTTTGATGATGGTCTTAACCATTGGCTATCATCCTGCTCAGTGACGCCTCCTATCCAAGACAACCTATATATTTTTAACAGTGACTACGACGATGTCTAGAACTTGTGTTCTCTGATCCACGTGTTTCTCTTTTTGTCTCTCTGCGTATTTCCCAGCATGCCTTTCTCCGTGTTTCTTTGTGTAATCTCGTTGTTTTGTTCCGTTCTCTTTGTCAGTGTCCACATGTCCAGCCTCCGAGTCATAGCAGGCAAACATGCACCAGTTGAAAACTGTCTTCACTTTGTTATTTTTGCTTTTAGCTATCAAATTTAATGTAACAAGTGCACTCTAACCTGCTCCATCCTGCTCCAACTCTTTGCTTACTCTCTTCTCTCGTGGGTGTGGCAAGCCAGGTTTTTTTTTACCACTTGGAAATTCCATCATCGGAGTGAGACTCTTCGATAGCCTCCTCCGTAGTACGTACAGCGCTCTGTCACGTGTTGGCATCGCAGTGCCTACCTGAGCTTGACGATTGCACTCGTCTCCGAGGAATTAATAGCGGCGTGAGTTTTGGTTGCTTCACTCAGTTGAGGTGGCCTGGTTATTGAAGGCAGCGTTAAAAGTTAGCTTGCAAAGATTGATTTGTGCCTTTTAAACTTCCTCTCGATGATAATGTCTTTTTCTTCTTCTTTGAAGGTTAAATGTGACTCCCCAAATCATATAACCGGACTGCAAGGGAATTATCTAATCTGCAGCATTGTGTTTTTTGAAACTTGGTGTGCCCTGTACACCCTGATTGCAGGATTGTCTCAAGAAAACGCAGTCCTACATCACTGATTACCACACATCTGTCATTGGCGGTTGTCGACATGCATTGACTGTGGGACATTAAGAATGTGAACACACTCACAAGTTTTCACTTCATAAATTACACCCCTGTATAATGAGCAAGTGCCTATTATGTTTGAGAACATCGATGACATTTATAACGGTACATTATTTTTTTTATCAGAATGGCAATCTCTCCTCACACTTCAGACTGTACCTATACGATAAATAAATAAATGCAGGTCAGCGATTGATTTATTTCTAAGCGTCTGTTTGCTTTGACAGCGGTGAGATTCGCCTGCCAGTTCAATGGGGTTCAGGCAGTGCAATGAATCGTAGGCCGAGAGGGCTTCTCAATGAGACAAAACACATTCGGGAGCATTCAATAACGAGCAAACGCACACACATCACACAGAGTATTGGGGGGGAGGATGCTGTTAGCGAGCACATATGAAGCCCTGCGCGGTACACGAGGGGGTGGTTGGCCAGCAGCACGCCAGACCATCTCTGTCTCCGCAGTGGTGATGTTTACACACCAGGTACTCGTTTGAGGCTGAGTCGACTTAGGTGAGGCCCAGGATCCGGTTCAGATCATCGTCGCCGTTATTGGGCGTGAGCGGGAATCTAACTCAGTTCACCGGGTTCGTAGCGCAGCGTAGCGCGAACCGCTGCGCCACCGCTTTCCACAGCACCCACACGCGCGCGCGCGCACTGGCACCCATTGGAAATGCAACGTAAGTTTTGTACCCAATTTAATTATTTCAATTAACACGCTACGGAATGCACGGTTCTCTGCTCACGCCCTCGCTCGCGACCGGTTTTGCTCATCGTTTCACGCTCCCCCCCACTCGTCTCGCTCCACCGTGGCCCCCAATCCTCAAAACGTTTACACGCCAAACCACGGCCGTTTCTCACCACCCACCCCGCGGTGGCGAAATGCTGACTGCCTCGCCTGGTATACGGGAGGTCGTGGGTTCGATCCAGACGCCTGCTTTCTATATTTGGAGTTTGCACGAGTTTCTCTCTCCCCGTGGTCGTGTAGATTTTTATTCGGGCCCACCGGTTTTTCCCTCCGCAATTAGAATACACATGCTTTTAGAGTATTTTGCCATTATACATTTCCACATGGTGATAAGCCACTTCGTTTAGCTATCATTTGTCGCCAGGTCGCTTCTGAACAAGAGCTAATATAGCTCAGTGTGCCTTACTTGGTAAAAATAAGTTTTTAGTTTATCATCATCACCACCACCACCACCACCATCCGTGTCCGCCGTGTCCCCTTGATCCCTTGTACCCCAACCTCCTGTGTCTTTGTGCCACCCCTCGAACAGCACTGGCTGAGTGAGCTGGAGACGCTTGCTGTCATCTTCGCCGCGGCCATTCACGATCTGGAGCACACGGGCACCACCAACAACTTCCACATCCAGACGCGGTGCGAGCCTGAAGTGCACACCGCTCACCGAATCTGCTCACCGCCGCTCACCGAAGCTGCTTACTGCCGCTTGCCGAATAATCTGCTCACTGAAACTGCTCACCGCTCACTCAATCTGCTCACCACTCACCTAAACTGCTAACCGCGATGCGCGTGCACACCACGGTGGCAGCAATCAGCCAGTTACTCCTTCCATACGACCCCAGCGATTAATCAGCCTTCACGTGTTGTCGCTACATGCGGTTATTTTATTTATATACGGTGTATTTAATTTCTAAAGTAATTTGTGAACATATCAAATGTGTCATTCGTCCAGTTAGTTAAAGCCAAAGAAATTGCATTGCGGATTTTTGTTTTTGCCCTCGATATTGGTATGTCTATAAAAGGCAAATTGCAGATTACAAGACACCTACTCTTAGGTTCTTTTGGTAAAGTCATGTAGATAGGAAAATAGATACATAATAGATCACGACGTTTCGATCGCAACAACAAGCAATCGTACTCAGGTGAAAGAGAGAAACATGCCTCTGTGACGAGGCATTATATAGAGGGGGAGGGGGGGAGGCCGTAAAGGGGGCGAGAGGGTGGGGATAAAATTAGTATAATTATTGTTATTAATACCATGGGCATAATGTTCCTACTGTTCATCTGGTTAACTGGAACATAACTATATTCTTTGGGTCTTTCGATAAAGTCACGTAGATAGGTTCATTTTCTTTGAACCTATCTACATGACTTTACCGAAAGACCCAAAGAATATGAATTCCTGCAGTCACGAAAGCTTTAAGTCAAGATGGAACAAAACTCTACTCGTCTATGGTACATTTGACTGAGCAGCTACCAATATAATTTGGAATTTAACAATCTCACCTTACTCTAAAGAATTTGCTTGATTTAGATGGTAATCATAGTCTTGACGGTGAAGACATTTTAACTAAACGATGCTTTAACAGTGGCATTATTCATTTTCCATATTATGTTTTTCTTTCAAAACAATATAACATCTTTCGATTTAAAGCTTTCGTGACCGCAGGGATTCATATTCTTGGTTCTTTCGGTAAAGTCACGTAGAAGGGAAATAATAAAATAATAACAAAAAAAACGTGACTTCACCGAGAGAACCAAGAAAAAGGTTACATCTCTATGTCAGTCTCACGAAATGCTTCGTGTGACATTTTCATTCTAATTATCTGCACGTCTCTGGTTTCACGCACGCACGTGTGTCCGTACGCCCGTGTCCGCATGGACTCGTGCGTTTGCGTGCCTGCGTGTCCATGCACTTCTGTGGCTGTGTGTCCCAAGTGCTCTTGACCCTGTGTCCATGGAATCATGCATATGACCGTGTGCTCACAATCCCACAGATTTTCCCATTTAATCTTGTGTCCACATACTCACGTGCCTATGTATCCACGTGCCCATGTGATCATGCACTCGTGCGCGAACCAACACACTCATCTTCCCATGTACTCACATGGCCACAAACTCATGTTCCCATGTACTCATGTGCCTTCGTGTCCGTATGCCTATGTGGTGGGGAGCGGTAGTGTAGCAGTTAGTGCGCTGCTCTGTGAACCCGGTGACCCGAGTTGGATTCCCGCTCACGGCCAACACCGGTGGCGATTATCTGAACCGGTGCTGGGCCTTTCCTAGGTCGACTCAGCCTCAAATGAGTACCTGGTGCGGTGTGTAAACATCGCCACTGGGGAGACAAATGCATCTAGGCGTGGTGTTGGACACCCATCCCATCCTGTGCTGTGCCGGCCTTCACAGGTGCTCGCGAATAGCACTTGCCCCGATGCCTATGTACTATAGTCATGTGCCCTTGGACTCACGATCCGTACGTAGCGCTCAGTGTCCCCATGTATTCGTGCGCTCATGTTGTCGTGTGCCCGGATGCAGCTCGGACGTGGCTCTGCTGTACAACGACCGCGCGGTGCTGGAGAACCATCACGTGAGCGCCGCCTACCGCCTCATGCAGGACGACGACATGAACATCTTCATCAACCTCAGCAAGGACGACTGGAGGTTGGGGTGCCACTGTGACGAGATATTAACTACCTCTCCTGCTATACAGTTGGTCGTAGGTTTGATGCCGGCCCTGACGCCTGTATATTTTGAGTTTGCGTCTCTATCTCTCTCTCTCCCCGTGGTCACGAGGATTTTTCAGTCCTCCGGTTTTTTCCCTCCACATTTAAAACCAATGTGCATTTTACTATTTGGCTGCTGCTATAGATTTCCGCGTGATAAGCCACTACGTTGAGCTATCATTTGTGGCCAAGTTGCGTCTGCAAAATAGATAAATAGTTCAATGGGCCTTACCTGTTAAATAAAAAATTGTTACATTTTATAGTTTATAGAGTCCACACACTGATCCGCTCGTAGCAAACTCCTGCAGCAAAGTGTCCTGTGCTATGGAGCAGTGCAGCAATCAGGTTGATAGAGACTTTTATGAGGGGCCTTAAGTGCAAACACATCTCAATATGCTTGCCAACTTACAGCGCCATCTTATCAGACCACCACAGCACCGCCACCGAACCAACCCGCACCACCACGACCTCAAAACGCCATCCCACACCGCCACCACCACCAATACCCCACATCGTCACCGTAGGGACGGATCTTGGATCCATTAATTCCTTGGAGCTCCGTCCCCAGATGCCTGGGCCTCACATTCGGTTTTGATGGAGCGAGCGAGGCATCCGCTTGTTCATTTCTCAATCGGCGTGGCATTCGCGCGACAATAGGCTGTGATGTTCCTTTGCAGAGTCCGGTTACCTTGGGCGACTAAAATGTGTGCCTGTCGTGTGGTGTGTCAACAGCTCTGTGGTGAACGTGCTGCATTGGGAATGCCCAGAGGGTTGGCCCTTCCACACCCACCTCATAACCAAAGCTTTGTCCCACTCACCAAATATATATTCCCATGGCTACTGAAGTTACATTGGGAAATTCTATTTTACAAATAATACGTATAATAATACAATAATACATATGCATTCCTATGATTCCATCACTATTATTTTCAATCTCATCGTGCCTGCTCAAGATTCAATGCACTGCCGCCTAAAGGATTCCTTCGTGTCAGATGTGGGGGTTGTTTGACCGTACTTCACCACGCTGGTCAATGCGGGTTGAGGGGGAGGTGTGGAGACTGGTTGAGATATCATCGATGTTAGCCTTAACCTGGAATTGAACTCTGGAGCCCAGTTTCATAGACCACTTTGATCACAACTGTGCCACCGTTTCGTCCTATGATGCCCAATTGGTTATCACATTACTTATTTACCATCTCACTGCATGCGTCCCGCGCCGGTGACCCTTTGTCTGCGGGCTTTTCGATGTATACAGAAATAAAAAACGACCAGAGTTGAGCCAATCCCACCTCAAGTGACATTCATAGATGCTCGCAAACAGCACTTGTGCCATGCTTGTGAGTGAGAACGAAGATTGAAGTATGTGTCCTCGCGTGTTTAACGCACGTGTCGTCTGTGCTGCTGTACAGAGAGCTGCGTGCGCTGGTCGTCGAGATGGTTCTGGCGACGGACATGTCGTGTCACTTTCAACAGATCAAGACCATGAAGAGCGCCCTGCAACAGCCTGAAAGGTTATGCACACATGCATGCCAATGTGTGTGTGTGTGCGTGAGTGTGTGCGTCTGTGACGAGCATTAGTGTAGTGGTTAGAGCGCTGCGCTACGAACCCGGCGACCTTGAGTTCAATTTCCGTTCACGGCCACCAACACCAGTGATGATTACTTGAACCAGTCCTGGGCCTCCCCGATGTCGATTGAGTCTCAAATGAGTACCTGGTGCAGTGTGTGTAAACATCGCCACTAGGGGGGGCAAAGGCGGCCGGCATGGCGCTGGCTACCAGGGCTGAACGATTTGGGGAAATATCTAATTGCGATTTTTCTGACAGATATTGCGATTTGATTTGAGATGAAAACAAAATGCAAGCTTCAGTTCAATAATCACTGTGTAATAGATTTAAAACATGTGATTGAGCATTACCACATAATACCATGAAATATGAACTGCTCAAAATAGTCTAATGCAAGGATGATAACTTAAAAGATATGAATTGCTTTCAACATGTTTTATTATAATGTTTCAAGAACAATCAAACATAGAACAATTATTAAGTTAAATAAATTAAGTTATAATACAAAATTAAAAAAATCTAATAAAAAGTAATAAGACTTTTCAAATCGCAAAAATTTGCAGCCTTTGCGATTTGCTAATCGCATTGTTTCAAATTGCGATTTCGATTTGAAATCGATTAATTGTTCAGCTCAACTGGCTACCCATCCCCTCGTGTGCCGTGCCGGCCTCCATAGGTGCTCGCTAACAGCACTTGCACCAACAGTCTGTTAAGGTTATAAGGGGGATCTTTGTCTTGTGTGCATTGTGTGTGTGTGCTAGGGGCGCAGCCAATGTGGGTGTCATAGGTTTCCAGACCGCCCCCCCCCCACCAGATGCTTTGAAATGTTGCGAAGAGAGACCCAAAAAGATTTAGACAAAATCATGTTATTTTTGAGTCCCAGTTTTTTTTCCCTTCAACAAGGAGATTGTGGCGATGACGGAATCTGTCAATGCACAGTACAGTAGTGCGCAGATAGTCGCCTCAGTACTGAGTAGCCAGTAGTTGCGTCGATTTGGTTTGTTGCTTGATAATAATATTGGTTTTGGAAAGCCAATACAGTTGGCTGATAGACAAAAAGTTTCATTTATATGTGGGTGACAGGGAACCCGAGTTCTGTAATATATGCTTTTAACATAATCTTACAAGTTCAATTTTGTTGAACGTGTTGATTAGTTTTTGTCAGAGTATAGCGCGGACGACAGTGATTCACGACGGGATTTGCAAACGAACGGATCACAGCACAGCTCCAATCTAATATACTTTTAGTTCTTTCGGTAAAGTCACGTAGGTAAAAAATCAAATTAAAATTAATAAAAAATAAAATAAAAATCACGACGTTTCGGAGGCAACACAAGTCTCCGTCATCAGGTGTGATCGTCACAGCCAGATTTGCTGCATCATTTTTTACCCACGTGACTTTACCGAAACAACTAAGAGTATGAATCCTTGCAGTCACGAAAGCTTCAAATCTAGAATCCAATCTAATAGTCAATCACCACCGGGAGGAACCCTTCGCTGGTCGCACACCGCCAACTCCCAGAGCGTGTGGCCGCGTTCGTGACGCGTGCATGCACGTGCGCTCTGCCTGTCCCCCCCTCTCCCACCTTCCCCCACCACCACCACAGCATTGACAAGTCGAAGGCGATGTCGCTGCTCCTGCACGCTGGCGACATCAGCCACCCCACCAAGGAGTGGCCCCTGCACCAGCGCTGGACCGAGGCCCTCATGGAGGAGTTCTTCAGGCAGGTCCGTCTCACTGGCGTTCGTTTGCTGTGAAACGTCTCGCGCTTCGCCGTCGCCGTGATAGCCACAAGCGAAGTGTGCGAACTGGGAGGGAAATGGTCACGACAACGAAAGGAAGCCATTGCCGCCCGTGACGAATCTTCGTCGGTGGAAATCAGCCTGAACATTTTGGGAGGTCGCTCCTTTTTTTCGGCGCCCACCTGCCGTTTGGAATTTCTCTCTGCCCGGTTGTCTACACTGCTTATTACCTCCCCGCTGTCAGTCCAGACTCGGCATCTTCAGTCCCTTCTCTGCCTCAGAATAGTTATTTCCAACAGCACTCTATAATTTTCCCCACCTCTTTGCCCTTCAACCTCCATTCACAATCGTCACCCCCTCCTGTTCTTCGCCTGGTTGCATACCTTGTAGATGTTGTTGCCTCAGCCGTTGCACACTGTAGGACAACTCAGCTTCGGTGTAGTTTTCTCTGCTCACTGGTGCACACCTTTGTGTTTTCGTTTGACTATTTCTCTATAGTTCATATGTACTACTCATTTTTTATGCGATCATCCTGTGCAGCAAAGTGAGATAATTTAATGTAGGGATGCTTTGTTAATTCATATTCTTTTCATACATTTTATTAGGCAGTTGTTGATTAAAAATACGTGATACTTGGCACCTGAAGTTCATTAACTTCAAACGCCATGAAAAAGAATAATTTTTGGATGCATGGTGTCACTTTCCTAATGTCCGTATCCAGTCACCTCACGACAGCCGCCACAATTCCACCAAGACCACTTTTGTAAATATTTGGGTGTTTTCTCTTGAAGCAGATGCTTGCATGCCCGCTGACTCACACGCATTTTGCGAACCCTATTGCTCCCGTGATGGCTTAGTCACTGGGAACAAATCGTTTCATTTTCGTGAGGTCATGAGTTCAAAGCCCAGTCAGAGAATGAGAACAATGCATCGTCCACATCAGAGTGGGTAACAATGGAGCACAACCTGTGTAGCATTGCTCGTCAATAATTCACCGGTGTTTTTGTTTTATCGTCTGGATTTATGTACGTATGCTGAACTTCTTTCGCACCGTACGAAGCCAACCGTGTTTTATCGGAGGACGAATGACTACTTTGTAGTCTGTGGTGAATTGGTGCATTCAACAATTTAAGATGTTTGCAAGGAGTGGCTCGATCAGAGAGCATGGAAGGAAATTGGGATATGCCTTGCATGGGCACTGCACAGGTTAACTTTGTGAGCGTTAACATTTTCCAGCTCCTCGGCTCAAGCCAAGGTCATTGGAATTGCCGGCACATTGCTGTAATGTGACAGAAAGCTCACTTCTCTGCAACCACTGTCAGCTTGCTACCCCATTGCTGCATACGCGCTGCCCACGCCCCCTGCGTATTACTCTTGTCGTGCTGAGCGCACGTTGTTCAAACCACGGGGTATTCAGGAACAAGCAAAGGGCCAGACGTGCACCTCATAATCCCAAGAGGAACTCGCGGTGCAATTTCACTGGTGTGTGATTGTGCTCGATTGCTATATGCCATTTAGGCGCCTCCAGTAGGGGGATGCAGATACGGTGAAATGTTGGACTGAGCAAGTTGGCAACGTTGTCCTTTTACCGGACATATCTGAAAAAGAGATTCGTAGCTCATCGGATTCCTCCAGTCGAAATAAAGTTTGTGATTTGGAAGTGTCTGTGTTTAACATAAAAGTTCTAAATTACATATCAGGTCTTGTGAACTATGCCCATCCATGTTAAGTGCCACCATACAATGTGAAAGCAAATTCTGTAGCTGCATGTGGAAATGTCATTGATGCACAAAGACAAAGATGCCCCGTATAGCCTTAATAGTCTATTGGGGCAAGTGCTGTTCGCGAGCACCTATGAAGGCCAGCGCGGCACACGAGGTGGTGGGTGTCCAGCACCACGCCCGACCGCCTTTGCCCCCCTAGTGGCGATGTTTACACACCGCACCAGGTCCTCATTTTGAGACTGATTCGACCTTGGGGAGGCCCATGACCGGTTCAGATAATCGTCATTGGTGTAAATGTCCACGTGATATGCCACTTTGCAATGTAATAATTTGTGGCCAAGTTGCTTCTGAAAAAAGTGGGTCGCACCTGGTAAAATATAAAATAGTTTAGATAGTTTTTAATATTTTTTGTCTACCCAGTGCTGATAATCAAATTTAAAATTCCACTCGCCCACTGGGTGTTGTGCAAAGCCAGCATTGTAGTGCCCTGTGCCTGCCACTGCACCAAAGCTTGCTATACTTTTCAACCCAAGCACATCAACCTGGAGCCTCGCATACATATCAGCGATCTCAGCAGCATGGAAATAGAGACATCAAGCTCGTGGTGTCAATGTCTCCCGTGAGCCAATTACGGATACAAAACAGACATAGCAAGCGTCTCAGCCGCTCACCGTATGTCACCGATCGATGACCACGGTTGGCTACGTACGGTGCAAAAGAAGTTCCACATACATACAGAAGAGTGTACGAGTGGTGTGAGCGATGTTTATTGATGTGATCGCATGAGGACATTCTCAAGCAGGAATATGGCCCAGCAGGAAAATTGTCGAGACGTTATTATACTTCGATTTAAAGCTTCCGTGACTGCAGGGATTCATATTCTTGGATCTTTCGGTAAAGTCACGTATAGGTAAATAATAAAATAATAAAAATTGAACATTATAAAATTCTCACGACGTTTCGGCCACAACACAAGCAGCCATCCTCAGGTGAAGAACAGAGCTGTCATTAAGACGCTGTCTTTCTGACAACTCTGTTCTTCACCTGAGGACGGCTACTTGTGTTGTGGTCGAAACGTCGTGAGAATTGTATTATGTTTTATTTTTATTATTTTATTATTTCCCTTCTACGTGACTTTACCGAAAGATCCAAGAATACGTTATTATACATTCGCTAAGAAAATTATTTAAATCGCTGTAAAGTGAATGCAGCCTATGAACAAATCACCCAGAATGTGCCCCATCTCATCAGACGTTGGAAACCAAGCCGGGTTGAGTTTGGAGAGTGTTTATATGGGTGATGGAGATGACTGCTGGGTGGGTCTCGTTCACAGCTGAATATCGGAACGCCCATGCGGCTCAGCCTTCATTTTATTTAGAGAGGCATAGCGCTGTTGTTTAATAAAAAAAAAAACATTGTACTCACTGCAGAGAACTGTCGCGACACGACCGCACTCTCTCCGATAGCTGGCGCCAAACCATACCACACAACCTCTCGCGTGGCCTAGTGGGAGCCTAGGTACCGATAAAGTTCTTTCATTGGACTTTTTCTTCCGGTACGTCTTCGGAAGAAAATCGGAAGAAAAACTGATGATATACACGTAATTCTAGATTTGAAGCTTTACGTGACTGCAAGGATTCATACTCTTTGTTTTTTTCGGTAAAGTCAACAATCAAATAAAACAAAATAAATAATTTATTTGTTTTTATTTATTTTATTTTTTACCTACGTGACTTTACCGAAAAAACAAAGAGTATGGATATGCACGTACCTCAGCGGAATGGGAAAGGGTTACGTTACTCTAGGCTGCTGCTGCTGCTGCTGCTGCTCCTACTGCTGTTGGGGGCTACTTGGTGAACAGCAGAGAGTAGTGCAGTAAAACCCATTGCCGAACTATAGTTTCTATCTATGCTACCCACCTTCACCAAGCCAGACTGACCAGAATGATGAAAGTATGGTAAAATAACGCCCACAATATGCAAAGTGTGAGTAGGCCGTAATCCAGCAGTGAAAAAAAAATCCTGTGCATGTAAACGTACAATGTGAATGCAGTTTTGTGTGGACCATAATTTCCAATGTTTATTGATTTTCATAATAAGTATTAATAAATTAATATCATAATATCGATCCTCCTGGGCTAGATAATTCATGAAAAGGGATCTAGACAATGGTCTCAAGCATGGAAACAACTCCATGCAGCTGTGCATTGATGGCTGCTGAGTTTACAACGGACATATGGTCCCTTCCTACCTCGCAGGGGAGACCTGTGGAGGCATCTCAGGTCGTGACGGGGGGGGGGAGGGAGTGACCGCCGTGTACTTATACGCGTCCGTGAATGGCGAGGTTAATGGGTGTCAGCTCGAGGCAACGGGAGACAAGTGGCGTTGTTGTTGTTGTTCGGACAGAATCGATACGCGGTGGCTCGTCCGTCAGCGTCGCAACTATGCCACATGTCACCACGAAGCCAAGCGTGGGATCGCTCTCCCCGGTCCGAAATTCATAACGGGTTACAAACCACAACTTCAACAACAAGAAAAGGCATTTTTAAGATCGGAGGGGGTTTCCTGCCGAGTTGAATTGTCTAATCTCGGTCGAACTTCTGTCCGTTAGAATTTTTCAATCGCAATTTTTTGTTTTTTACGCTCGGCGAATTGAAGGAGCACGTTGAGACGTCTGCAGAATATTTATGAACGCGTTCCGCCGTGAGTACCGATAGCCAGGAGTGGTGCAGCCGTTGTGGTTGGGTGATGTAATCACAAACAACGCACAGACAAGGGTCTCACGTACACAAAGTTAAAGAACATCAAGGCTCGTTTATTCATCACACCTTTTTTGGATCGGGTGATTTTAAACAGCTTGTACTTAAATCATTTCCTTTTGAGCATTTCTGAGCCAGTTTCGACTTTTTGACGCCGATCAGCAGAGTATCACCTGATTGTGATAGTATAACTTATTTTTGCATTCTGATTAAAGAGACCATCTTTTCATTCGGTTGTGTTTCATCATGCTTGTGTTTAGTTTGTTGTCCTTCCCCCGCACCTCGGATTTTCACGGTTGGCTACGTACGGTGTGAAATAATTCCGACATACATACATAATCAGCTGTGCCGGTGAAGTTGCATTGACAAGCGGGCGTTGTGCAGTTCGCTCGCTGGCCGTGGTGCTGAATCACTGTAGCGTTGTTCAGCATTACCAGGTGTGGCAGCGCCCCCTCGTGGCGATTATGTAAAATGTGCATAGACGTTGAGTTGTCGGCCTTCTGTTTTTGCCGTGGTCTGGGCAGGGTGACCGTGAAGCGAAGCTGGGCCTCCCGTTTTCGCCCCTGTGCGACCGAAACTCTACGATGGTCGCCCAGTCACAGATCGGTGAGTCTTCACTCGCCCTCGTCACCCACTCTCGCACCTCCAATTAGCACCGTTGGCCACTTACGGTGCGAAAGAAGTTCAACGTACATACACACATGTGTAATGAGATAGTGACATCTGCTGATTGGTAAAGGGTAGCACGTGCACAGGCACCATGATAAGCATTATTCAATCCGACTTAAAGCGTTCGTGACTGCAGGAATTAATATTCTTTTGGTTCTTTCGGTAACGTCACGTAGATAGAAAATTATAAAAAGGTAAAAAAAACTACGACGTTTCGATCGCAACACAACTGATCATCCTCAGGTGAAACAAATACAGCAGGCGGACTGCTGAGAGAAATATTGCGAGAGAGCTACCGCAGCCTTTGGCGGATCTCCGGCAAAGCTCCACCGCCCTCCTCGGCACGCCGTCAGCCAGCGGCGAGACAGGGAGCGGACGGGCGGAACCAGCCGTGTGATCAACCGTGTGCATAGTCTGTAGAACGTGACATCTGAGTGTGCGCCAATAACGTTGGCTTGTGCCGTGCCGTACATGGGATCAAGAAGAGCACCCTCTTCACGACGTGTCGTGGAAGTGGCTCATTACACATGCATTCACTCTCGCAGCACCCTTGAGTCACACACCTTTCAAATGAACCACCTACAAGACGCGCCTTTCCATCTGTATGTACTATGTTGAACGTATTTCGCACCGTACGTAGCCAGCTGTGTTAATCGGAGGTGCGGGAGAAGGACAGCAAGCTAAATACAAAAGCAGCTACGAAGACATTAGTTTTCAATTTAGATTAAAAGTGCATAGCTCCAGTGGCTTCCTAATATCGGAACGAAGAGCGTTCCAAGTGGCTGCAGGAGTGTATCTGAAAGTGTGCGATGCAGTGACAATCTTTGTCCGATGGGGAGCGAATATCAGTTGTGCATGGCAACTCCTGTGTTCCCGGCTGTAAGTTCATATACTTGTGATAAGTTCAAGAAGATATCTTAGGTTAACTCTTTTCCGTTTCATATTCTTGGTTCCTTCGGTAAAGTCACGTAGAAGGAAAATAATAAAATAATATAAATATAAAACAATAACAACAATTATATAAGTGTTTACTCTTTGAAGTCCAAGTCGTGTTCTTGTCTAAATGGTGCATAACGGTATTGTACTCTTTCAAATTCAGGTCTGTATCTTAGTGGTGTACAATCCTGCTTCGAATGTAATAAGAAAAGTAAATTAGTTGAGATAAATGGATGTTAAAGATGTTCAGCCACGCGAGTGCCAAGCAGAGCTGTGAATTATAACCCCCGAATTGTACAATCCGTGTTTCTCCAGCTTCCTCTCACTTAAATGAATATTGGTTAAAAAAATATACGAATGTTCTGTCGTCCAATCCATACTTCTAATTGACCGTAGCGTGTAGTCGCAGCAGTAAACCTTAGTGCTATTTTTTTTATCAGTGATGACACACCCTTCATTAAGCCCTGCCACTCGGGCTGCTGTTGTTGTTCGTGGATATTTTTTATTTCCCCTCATCCGTTCTGTGATCGACGCTTCGTACCACACTCGTGTTCAGTTATAAAAAAAAACAGTCTTGACAATCACTAATAAATCATACCGATCATTTAAATCAATCACAAAAATCCGTTTGAATCATTATTTAATCACTGATCGAAAATCGCTTTTACATGAACAAAGTGAAACTGGTTTCGAACAACTGATATGATTCACGGATTTAAATTTTACCAGACGAGAACCCAGGAAGACAACAAGTCCCATTTGCAAGGGTGCCCTGGATCAACGAGTTCACAAAACACTGCAGATTCAACCAAAACACAAAGAGCTAAGAGTTGGACAAGAGACTTTGCTACTCATCGGCAATACATACCAAATTGTCAAAGCAAGCAAACATATGCAAGCCACGCCCACACAATTCACGGTAAAAAAAAGCTGTCGATCACATTCCACTTGCAATTACAAAGTTAATACTGTAGTTAAAAAAAATAGTTTGATATGAAAAATACCAATTGAGAGAGGATAGACTATATGACTTATCACCGTCATCATCAGGCAAGATCATTCCAGTTCCGGTTGAAGGCCTCCCTAAGTTGGCACCATAATTTCACGGTCCTGCGATCTCGCGATCCACACAACACCTGGGCCTTCTCTCAGCCGTGTTCTATGCCTTGGCTACTGGTGGTGAAAACGTTAGTCTCGACACGAGCAGGGCTGGTCAGTGGTCAAGACGTTAGTCTAGACCACTGACCAGCCCTGCTCGTGTACTGCCCGAGACCACTTACGTTTCTTAACTGCATGGCTTATTCATGTAGAACCAGGTGAACACTATTTCTTCCTAAAACATTTGCAGATTGTAGCCCAGCGCAATTTGGTGCTGTAATTAATTTTCACTTTACATTTCAGTCAAAGCGGCCACACTCAATTATTTTATTTAATCAATGTAAACAGGGCAAGCCACTTTATGGAGAAAAAGGAAATCTGCGTCCTATCTCCCCTTTCCAGTATCTGCTCATGACCAAATCAAACCCTGCAATTGAATTGTTGAACGTTTTAGATTGCCATTCGTATTAACGTATTGACGTTGAGCGTGACCCCCGTCGCTAAAGAATGCATGGCAGGGTGAGAGAAGGGTGGGGGAGGGATCCTTGCATTGACGTCCACAGCATTCCTGCTATGCAATTAGTTCCGATTAGAGCGCTGCACAATACACAGTCTTTCAGTATCAATGCGCGTCGTTTCATTTTTTCACGGCTCAAACCCCTAACGCTACTTGTATTAAAATAGTTACAAGCTAATTATATCGCTTGACCATTTCACAAACATTAACCCATGCCCTTAGCGTGCTATGCTGATTCCTTTAAGGCTGCAAGGTGGCCAGGGGATATCAGTATTTTACGTTGCCGCTCGTATGCGTGGTTGTTTTTTCGGTACCCCAGATTCCTTAACGTGAGAGCCCAGTGTTAGAAACATATACAGTATATATATTCTATCCTTACAGACATTTTCACAGTGGGTGACAGTTAATTTCACTAAAACAAACTGGGGACATGTGATAACTATTCATCATCCTATGAGTGTATTTGAAAAAAAAAACAATATCCAAACGAATGAGTTACATTAAAATCCAGTAGCTCGGTATCCAAACCATTCCACCTCCACAAATACAGAGCCTCCTTGCTCACCAACCCACACATCGACAAAATCCTGCATTTCAAAATTCACCAACAGAGGGCAGCCGAGGTATCTAAACGACATGGCGCCCTTCCTTGGCCAATGCTCTTCTTCCACATAAGCTGTTTGTCACTTGTGCTGCACTGACACCGGTCCATTTAATTAAAGTGAGAGGGGTTCTCATAGCCACATCCATTCTACGCTTCCAGCCCTGAAACGCTCTGCCCGTCTTGTCGAAGCAAATCCAGGGCAGAGGCGTAGCTGGGGGGGGGGCAGGGGGGTACATATGTCCCCGGGCGCCAAGGTAAAGGGGCGCCAAAATGAGGCTTACAACGTGACATTATAAATTATTGCGGCGGGCACGGCAGCCTGAAACTACTGCACAAATCTACACCTCAACCTAAAAGTTTATATATCCCGCCACACACAGCCTACATGTCATGTAATTACATTTTGGTATGTGATTAAACGGGGGGGGCGCCAATTTTATAGTTCGTCCCCGGGCGCAAAATATCCTAGCTACGCCACTGATCCAGGGGTAGTGGCGAGATGGCAGATGGGAGGGAAGCATTTGGCATAGGTTTGCCGTGTGGCTCCAGGTCAGGGTTTTCCAGCCAAGGGCTCTATTCAGGCTCTCAGGACGGCAGGTCGAGTGACAGCTCAGCACCCACCGGTGCATTAGAGATGGCCTGCGCTTTCATACCGTGCTCTGTTTAATTTGCCTGCGCGTGTCGCACGCAATTACGAAACCGTGACTTGATTCCACTCCTGCACGGGAGCCACAGCAATTTGCTAGTATTAGGGGCTGTTTGGGCACAGTGTTGTTATTGTAGAACGCTGGAACAGGTTATACAACACTGCATAATGGAACACTACTCTTATAAACCTTCCATTATAGGAAAAGCAACATTCAGTGTCTAGTCATGAGGCATCGCTACCTAAACGAGAAGTGCAACAAAAAATGCACAGCGCCATTATCCAATTAACTGTACATGTGCATGAATGCGGCACTGTGCTTCACGATAATGTTGATCAATTATTTTTGAATACATAGTTTCTCATATCAGCTCGTGCTAACACTCTGAGTGATGGTAGTGGCTTAAGGATTAAAATACCAATGGTGGGCTCAATGTGGATAGGATTTTTTGTTTGTATCATTGCTGTTTTTATCACCTCCGCATCCTGCACCGTAAAAATAGCCTCATCCCGCAAAGCTTCCAGTGGTCTGTTAAATCTGTTATAGGAGCTTCCTGCTTCTATATTTGGGAAGCTAGTTGTTGAGCATTTTTTTTTTTGCGTGAGAAAAGTTGGTCACATGTGTGCACCATCCAGTAACGTTTGTCTAGTTGACATGGGCCCTTGTGAAAGGTAATTAAACGGGGTCCCCCCCCCCCCATTCAATTCCCCTCACCCCTCTTCGTAGCCCATAGCATGGGCCCCTTTTGGCCTACATGCCACGATGCAGTTGCACCGCCTGTGCACTCGATAGCCACGCCACTTGGCGCCATCACACATCCTGCGATCCATTCCGTCCGTTGACCTTTTCTCATGAAAATACGTCCGAGTCTCTGCTCCTCTGTGCCTCCATTCCTTCCCTCGGTGCCAGGATTCATGGACTTCATTGTGGAGCCCACGTTCTCCGTGCTCACCGACATGGCCGAGAAGGTGGTGGTGCCCCTGGCCGAGGAAGCAGCCAGGGCCGGCACACCAGGGGTGCCACGCCGCGGCAGGTATTCTAAACTAAACGAAAGCAATTTTTTTTATTTTACCCGGTAAGGCCCCACTGAGCTATATTGGCTGTTTTCCAGAAGCGACCTGGCCACAAGTGGTAGCTCAATGAAGTGGTTTTATCGTCACGTGGAAATTTATAGCAGACGAATACTCTGAACGCGTGTTTATTTTAATTGTGGAGGGATCACCGCACGCCCACCACACAACTTAAAATAATTACACTAATTGACGGTTGGAACAAATATTGCTTCTCGTGAATATATGTAGCCCCGGACTATGGTTCAGGTCCCTTTGTTACAAAAAGAAGAAGGGGTGCAGATATTTGAAAGGTTAACCAATATTCTGGAGTATTTGGGAACCATTTTTCCATGATATTGGTTCTCATAAGTGATGAATATTTGTATCTAGGGCCAACAAATATTTGCTAGGAACATATTCTCTTGACACGTGTACAATAAAAAAACCAAAGAGACTATTCAATTGTTTCAACTTAAGAGCCAAAAAGTAGGACAGAATGTGACCAATAGGAAAATCCACGTTTTTCTTTTTTTCCAAATCCAAGTTTGTTTCTTGACAGGGCATGACCTGATGCAGACAGCAGGCAGGAGGTGTAACTGGGTGATTGGTTCTCATTGCTCACGAGAGACAGCTATTGACAGATGGCTGAATTGCAATATATAAATTGACAATCATCATACATTTGGTTTAATAAAAGCTGTTTGTTTCTATCGTTGTCATACTCATCATTTTCATGAGCATGTTCTAACCACTGCTGGATGAAAGCTTACGCACGTCATCGCCAACCCGCATTGTCCTGTGATGCCACAATCCATCTCGCTCCTGCAAATAAGCCGATCTTACCGTGCTATCTATACAATCGTCATCCTTCTGGGAGTGTTTTCCTGCTTTGGCTGCCATTCTGTCACCAGTCTCACTGATCGGCCATCATCATTTTCGAGCAATTTATCCTACCCAAGCCCTCTTCTTAACCGTCAACACGACGTCTCGAATGTGCGTTCATTGCCTGATCCATGCGCGTGTTCCTCTTCATAACTCTCGGCGCAATCTTTGGCGTGCACCTGTCCTACGCTTCTTTGGGCCGCTTTATAGCTCTCATTGCACTTTTCTCTGGCGGTCTCTTTTGTTTCTGCACTGATGGGCGGTCATTACGCACGTGCGCTTCCCTGCACCCTGACGCGCCGCCCGGTGAAGTGCGCCCCGCTCTCCACACAGCGCGGCAACCGTGGAGTGGCACCGCGGCAAGCGCGCGGCAAGCGACGGCTCCGTCACCTCCATCTGCACCGTCGACCTCCTCCAGTTCCGCGCGCTGTGGCAGAATTGCCTCAGCAGCAACAAGGAGCGCTGGAAGGAGCAGGCGGCGGCGGCGGCTGCAACGGCTTTAACCGCGACCCCCACTGGAGGTTACTTGCTACCCAGACTAAACTAAACTATTAAACTGATTTTATTTTACTAGGTAAGGCCCAAGCATCAGTATCGGGATCGAACCCACGACCTCCTGTATACCAGGCGAGGGAGTTAACAACTCGCCACCAAAGCTAGTAACCAGACAGAGCCGCTATAGCCAGATATATTTTATTGTTGCAGAGGCCTGTTTAAGATTGTTTTCCAGAAATGTCCCAATTGTACTATCGGCATCATGTCATGAAACATGGCAGCCGCAACCCTTTGTGTTCGAGACGAGTTTACTAAAGTGGCTGTCACGAAGCTATCTCTAAGATCCTTTCAAGTAAACCGTGGTCCACCCAGTAGGAGGCAGCAGAATGTTAAATTCAATGTTTAATATTGTTCAGTTTACAGCAGTGGCACACGACGGTCCCCCAGTTGGTCCGCGGAGCTGTGAGGAAAACGCAGGTTGATCTGGACAATAATGGCAACGTTTATACCGTTTGTTTCAGTTGAACATGAATTAATATTTTACTTTTGATATTTAATTTAAAAAACGAAGTTAGATAACGTACCCCTGATTAAACTACCCTAACCCCCCCCCCCCACCCCTAAAAAAAATTGTAACAGCTACGTTTAAAAAAATATTAGTTTAAAAAATATTTTTAAAGAGAGAAGTGAATGCGTTTTGTAACCAGGGGTGGTCTGCGGAAATGTGGTCCACGAACTTTAAGCAAAGTTTGAGAAACACAACTGGCTTACACAAAGCCTCTTAGCGCTGTGCGTGTTCTATCCCGAACCACTCCCGATAACTTACAAACGAGCACTTGTGATTCGAAAGAGAACAGATAAAACAGGGGTGGGGAGGGGGGGGGAGTTTATATTGTGGTATTTGAACCAATATGTTTAAGTTTGGTAAAAAAAAAAAACGCGACTCGCATGACTTGGGGAGACCTTCAACCATCAGTGAATTGCCGGAGTTGTAAATAACAAATATCACAAATATACTCACTCCTGCACATGATGATGTAATGTGGACAAATAGCAACATTTCGTACGATGTCGTCATCATCATCATAACAATTTGACCTCATGAGCCGATGTTCCAACAGATGACAAGGAAGCTCCCATGCAGGAGGAAGAAACGACAGCAGTGCCGGCACACGAGCTGCGCAGGGAGCCGGATGACGGCAGGCGACAATCCACAGCTGCCCTGGAACAGATCGCCTCCGCCGATCATGCTGACGATGACGCCGATGATGTCAGTCATGGCAGCATGGGCGACCAAGATGAGGACCATAGCGTCGGCGGCGACGATGATCATAACGATGGTGGCAACGATGACGATGATGAGGCAGCGGAGAACACGGGAGAAGATCCCGGAGAGAGACTTGCAGACGAGGATGCAGGGTGGCGAGAGGGCGGGCACGCCGGGAGGGCGAATGACGTCGAGGTCACCGCCTCGTCGGACGTGTCCCTCCAGTCGGAGCCGTCGCTCACGTCCGAAGAGTCCGTGTTGTCCGATTCGAAGGACAAAGAGGACTCGACAATGCTGGAGACAGGTGTGTGTCGTTTTCCGTGGTTACCCTCATGGTTGTACTCACGTTCGTGCACCGCCCGCCCCCCTCCACTACCCACTCCCCATAGATGGTGCAGGGAAACAACTATTCTTCTTATTCTTGGTTCTTTCGGTAAAGTCACGTAGAAGGGAAACAATAAAATAACAAAAAATTATAAAACAATAAAATTCTCACGACGTTTCAACTGCAACACAAGCAATCATCATCAGGTGTGAAATCCACACCTGATGATGGATGATGGATTTCACACCTGATGATGATTGCTTGTGTTGCAGTCGAAACGTCGTGAGAATGTTATTGTTTTATATTTTTATTGTTTTATTGTTTCCCTTCTACGTGGCTTTACCGAAAGAACCAATAATATGAATCCCTGCAGTCACGAAAGCTTTAAATCAAAATTTAAATACTCTTCTGTTTCCTTAGGATTTTCATGAGAGTCTTCCAGGCACTTGATAGCCGTTTGGCTCTCTCTCTCTTGTGGAGTTGTTTTTGTATCTCAATATCATCCATCAACTGCACTTTCAGGTCTCAGGACTACAGGCTTGCTTCACCAGCACACAACCACCTGTGTGTGTGTGTGTAATACACATACGTTACGTCGGTTACACATTCCTGCGAAGGGAGCTGGTAGGAACGTTGGGTTGCTCGGTCAATGGCCAGGGTCAACGGCGGCGTGGTGTATTCCGCAAATATGCCCGACTGTGAGGGCGGGCACAAGCCGGCGTGAGTAGGTTAAACGTTGAGTTTTATAAGGGCACCACGGGGTGACCAGCCCCATCCCACCCAGCCCTAACCCTCCCATTTCCCACCCAGCAGCCCCTCCCCACCCTCCCCACCCAGCCCCTCCCCACCCAGCCCCTCCCCACCCTCTCCTCCCCACCCAGCCCCTCCCTCCCCACCCATCCCCTCCCTGTACGACGGACGGACACAATAATCCCCTGTAGGCTGGTGGAACCAGTGGGTTCCTACCAGTAATATTGTTTGCGTGCATAAGTCTCAGTGCATAAATACTACAGAGCACCATGATTTAACATGGATCTCAAGGTTTCCTTGTGAGTATGGGTGTATCCAGGGCTTTATTTCAGCCGGGTATGTCTGGGTCGACAACCCAACATGTATTTCTGTGCCTGGCACACTGCATCTCGTATTCCTCTCACTATATCTGTGACTAGTCGCATTCCAATTGCAGTCTTCTAGCGATCAGGAAAACTTTCGTTAAGAAATTTGTTTCTGGGTGTAGTTATGGATTTAGCCATCTATTAAAATGTGTTTGTTTTGCTCTCAGTCTGTGAATGCAATTCCAGGAGTAAGACTCAATTATTTTGTTGTTTGTACATGTTTTATTCATGGGCTCACGTGAGCCCTGCAGCCAGTGGCGATGTTGCAATGCGCCACAGTGGTTCTTTTTATTTTACCAAGAACCTGAATTAAATCGTGCATTTTCATGGCAACAGGAGGCGGGGGCGGATTTGTTACAGACTTATTTTTGAGCATTGCACAATCCGTGGGCCTCTGCCCACATCACTCAGAATGTGCCCGATCTCTTAGTAGCTAAGCAGATTTGAGCCCGGTTAATGCTCGGATGGATGACAGGCTGCTGTAGTTGCATGCATGCTGGGCAGTGGAGGGCAGTGCAGCAACATCGATTGTTGCACTGTGCATCTATGCTCCATGCCTTCACCCACCCATACTGACCATCGTAGTAAAGATATGGTCACATACACATGTGCACACCAAATGAGCCCCCACCTGCTCAACCTCCCTCAAATGCCGCCTCCATTTCGCTTTGCAGCTCCCTGCTCAGGGAGCCACCAGGTGAGTACTGTGCACTGTGCTAATGGTGCCGGGTATGTTATGCTGCTTGTTCTGCATACAGGTGAGGCTTCGGTAAGAACCGGTGTGGAAGAAAACGTCTTGTTGGACCATTGACGCCACCACCACCATCATCGCCATACTCAGGTGTGGCTAAAGAAGTGGTGCAGTAGGTTAGAATTGTTGACATAGGCCCTGGTACAAGATGTGTCCCCCCTATGTCCAATCGCTGTCTCTTGTCGCCTCACGTGCACCCGTCTGCCCAACGGTGTGTGCCCGAGGCTCCTCGGGTGTCACATGAGCGGGTTAACCTACACGCCCACCAATCACAGCCACCCGACTGTAGAATTTTGACATTGCCGCCCCCACCCCTGCAACCTGGTAAGCGCCATCTTGGAAATGCTTAATGTTGATGCCTCCTGCACATAAAGCCAATACTGCCAGGCACCCACCTCCCCCCCAAACCAACAACCAGCACTCTCTCTTATTGGGCAGAGCCTGGGCCCCGACGCCTCATGTGTCCCAGTGCAGTTGCACTTTTTGCAGGTTTGATAGCAGCATCACTGGCAGGATGAATGATTCCATGATTCCCTGATGGCCAAGTTGGCCCATGTAGGACCCCCACCATATAAACTTCTCTTTGCACTCTCATTGGGATCGTGTTGCGTCAAACATCTTGAAATCTTTTGGCGTTATGGTTCAACAGTCAATGCGTTTTTCTTGCAATGCTTAATTAGATGCTTGTTATTGTTTTTAACATTGTAGATGTTTATTTTGTCATTTCGTTTTTCTGTCATCACATATTCTTGGGGGCGAATGCCCCAGAGATTGTTTTATTCTTCCACTTGCATCTGCTGGCATTGCGAGGTGTCTTCACTGTTCGCTGCACGTCTGCTAAGTGGGCATCGGCCGCTTTGTGCGTGATGTGGTTTTGTAATCTGTGCCAATGTTTTGTCTTTTGCAGGACTGACAGTGTGAAGAGTCAATTGTGAAGTTGCAAAAATAGTGAAACAAACAAGTGGGAAAGAGGGAGGAGAGGACGGGGGAAAGAGGCGAGCACAAGGGGGCTAAAGTCGTTTTGTTTCAGCAATGTATGGGCATGCTCACAGGTTGAATGTTTGTCATGACCATGGGCAAGCTCAGAAACAGCCTTTTCCACTCAAACTGGACAATCAAACCAATAAACCGGGAATCACACGTTACATAGCTCTGATCTGAGTCGCAGACCGATGTACAAAGAAATCCCTTTACCGTGGGTCAGTTTTTCGACAATATTTTTTGTTTAGCTTGTTACATTTGCAAATGTGTACGATGGCTGACATCTGTGCTGGAACATTGCCCACAATTGTAGCTGTAACCCTGTTGGTGTTCAAGCTGACACGGAGTTGAAGTTAACTGTCAACACTGAAATCATAAAGGACTAACATTAAACGTAACATGTATCAATTGGTCTGTTTTAAAAAAAAGTCGTGTCCGTGAAATGAATGAAAATGTCCACCATTATTTAATTTATTGCGAATTTGTTTATGGGTCTGATTTTCCACGAATCACATTTGGTAAAACAAAAATGGTCGGTCCCTTCAGTCTTATGCTCATGTGAAGGTAAAATGATATATGTACTGCAGGGTAACGCATGTGACTGAAAAATCATGTTTTATTGCAGAGAATGTCAACAGCATACGTGTGGTGTATTTAATTATTTAGAATGTTTTTAGTTTGTGAAGTAGAATAGTAAAACAATCATAAACACTACTTGCGAGGAGATGTTAAGGTTTGCAAAACCACTCCTCTTTACTCCGTTCATCCAAACTCCATCTAACATAAAAAAAAGAAAATATCTTGAATCACACACACACACATTGTAAATTGGCCTGTCATATTCCGGCTGCTGCATTAAGACTTTGCCTCTGAGCAGCACTCTAATAATTAAACAAATGCTGTTTCAGCACCGTTTGCATCATGGCTGCTTTGCGAGTGTTAACGTGTTGGTATTTGAAATACATTCTGGCCGGACAGCACGGAGGGCATTAGGATGTGGACTCGCAGTTCGTTATGCTGCTGCAGCAGCTCGTGGATTTGTTTACTAACATGAGTCGGGCACCATAGCGACGGTCGTTCTGACATCAAGAGGGAAAATCCACACGGGTTTCTGTGGCGTAAGGAAAAAAAAAAGAAGAGACATTTAGGGCTCGATTTAATAGTAAATGCTTTTGGTATAAATGACCACACACATAATCAAAAATACGGCGTGACTTCGTGTTCTGTTTTGTTAATGTTATTTCTTTGTACTTAATTATTGTTCATAAGTTGCTGTGCATAATAAACCAGAGGCACTCAGCAGTGCTGACTTTTGCAACATTTCCATTTGATTGTAGCGTTCGTGCAATTCGGTATAGCGGTAATTTAATCAAACGCATTTATTTCATACGAGTTCATGAAGCCTGTCTTCGCCAGGCAAAAGTTTTCAATATATATAATAGAGGTGATATGAATTTTTACAATTTTTATCTACGATCTGACATTAACAACTACTCAAAAAATGTGTATTTTTTCGCAAAAAAAACTAACATTGTCGACGATTTCATTAAATTTCTTATATTTAAAGACTTATCCATGGGAAATTACTTAATTTAAAGATTCCATTCTTTTTTATTCGAAAGAACAAAAACTAATTAAGTTAATACTGTATGAGGGGAAATTCTTATCGTTTACCGTTTTCGAACAATTCAGATTTGAACATGAGAAAATGCATATTTATTTCGTTCAAAATCGCTTGAATCTGAATAATTTACAAAACAATAAAAGATAGAACAATTGTTCTTGCTTTAATTTTTATTATTTGCTATTTAACGCTTTATCAAACGAAAAAGACCGCGATGTTATATTTTGAGCGGTTTCTGAATGACACTCACAAAATTTTTACGGGGCACAATATCGAGGTTTGGAGGCCTTAAAATGAAAAATCTCGGCTTTTATGATTCCCTGTTTGTGTCCTAAAAACTACATACGTACCAAATTTCAGCGTTCTACTTTGTCCGGAGGTATCCTAGAGGTTTTTGAGACATACAGATTAAGCTATTTATTTATATAGATAATGTTGAAATCCCACAGTTTTGTGCTGAAGGAAATATAGCATTAGGTCTACTGAAGAAACATTGTGCAGAGATGCCCTGCTGGTTTTCCTAGTAAAAATGTACTCCTGCATGTCTACCGTTGTGTGATGAATCAGCCCAGGTATTTTGAGATTTTACTTTTTAGCCACAGGTGCTTATATATGGATACAAGTCACCGCATAACGTTTCAGAGTTAAGTGTTTTTTTGTGTGCGCTTGTGTATGTGTGTGTGAGGAGCGGTAGTGCAGCGGTTATCGCGCTGCACTACTAACCTGGCGAACTGGGTTTGATTTCCGCTCACGGCCAACACCAATACTCTTAAAACCTCCACCGCAAACAATCGCCTTTCCCGTCTTCAAGAGCCTCGGTGGGCTCGCTCCTGCCTCGCTCCTCCTTCTCAACTCCCTCTGATTGCCTCCACGCAGTCTCCGCTCCAACAAACAAGGCGATCTGTCGAAGCCCTCAGCCAACTTTTGTTCGGTGGGAGTTGCACATTCCTCTCTGCTACCTCTATAGTCTGGAAATCCCTTCCCCCCAGCCGTCAGTGTTTTTAGCTCACATTGCCGACTCGCATCCAGGCCTAAGACATTCCTCGTAATCATCTGCGTGTGACTGCTGACTGCATCTTTTTTTAAACAATTTGATAAACAGTTTCTATCGAGCATCGTGAAATGCTGTCACACCTTTCTCACGCTAGCTGCGCGACATTACAGTTAAGGCATTACACATTTTGTACTTTATTCATGCTTCAAATTAACAACCTTTCATTTTTCAGTGGGCGCCCAGTACTCTGTTTAATTGGCTCAGTGATTTTTGTTCATCTTTACATGCTATTCTATTCCATTGTTACCGAAAGACCCAAAAAGTATTTTGAATTGTATTATTTTATTATGTTTTATTTTTATTATTTGATCATCTCCCTGCTACGTGACTTTACCGAAAGAACCAAGAATATAGAGAGTCCACAGTTAAAATCTTCAACTCTCGATCACTTAAAAATTCCAAACACTAGATTTTACAATCTGAATTGATATTTAAACTGGAGCAATTCAGTCAAGAGAGTTGAAGATTTTAACTGTGGACTATCTATATTCTTGGTTCTTTCGGTAAAGTCACGTAGAAGGGAAATAATAAAATAATAATAATATAACACTTTTTTCAAATTTTATTGCTGTGGATTTCACACCTGATTATGATTGCTTGTGTTGCAATCGAAACGTCGTGAGAATTTTTTATCGTGTTATATTTTTTTATTTTATTATCTCCCTTCTACGTGACTTTACCGAAAGAAACAAGAAGATGAATCCCTGCAGTCACGAAAACTTTAAATCGAAAAGTATTTTTAGAATTTATTTTGCGCCCTTTCCGAATGGCAATTAGCATCAGAAAGTGGGTGCCTGGCAGCCTGTGCTGTGGACTGCACGGGGCTCAAACGGCCGCGTAGGCAAGCGTGGCTCATAATCATGCCGATAAAAAAAACTCGAGTCACAAATTGTGCAGGCGAGCATCTGCAAATGCCGGCTCTCCAATGTGCATTCATGCTGTACCGCGTGTATCGTTCAGCACGATGTCCGACGTTTTTGCTCCGCGTGCTGGGAGCTTCTTCAGGAACCGAATGGAGCAGCTTACTTTTAATTTCATGGAGAGTGGGTGAAAAATGTCGGGCATGCAAAACGACGCATCCGTCCGCACAACCGCACAAACACCCACGCAGTAGCTTCCGTGGATCGGTTTCGGAACTGCGGGAGTCTGCTTAGCTTTTGTCAAATCCATTGACTGAGACTTGGAGAATCCAGACAAGAAAACAATTCCACTGTTATTTGGGCCCGGTTATCAGTTATAAAAAAATAATTTCAAAATATGTGTTATGGAAAGGATTGGTTTTAAGACAATTGTTACTACATAATGTCATTTGGTACCTCTTGTCCACTTACCCCTTATGGAATTGTCTAATTGTTAACTTTTTCACGAGGAATTTGCAAGGCCAAATTAACTCCTTTACCTAGTATAACTCTCTCGCCTGCTATACAGGAGGTCATGGCTTAGATCCCGACCCTGACGCCTGCTGTATATTAGGAGTTTGTGTGTCTCTCTCCGTGCTCGAGTGGATTTTTCTCTAGGTCCTCCGGTTTCTCCCTCCACATTTAGAATCAACATGTGGTTAGAGTATTTGGCTGCTATCAACTTCCACACGATGAGCCGCTTCATTGGGCTATCATTTTTCGCCAGGTCGCTTCTGAAAAAGAGCTAAATAGCTCAGTGGGCCTTACCTGATAAAATTAAAATAGTTTCTTGTTTTGGTTTAGATATACATGAGAAAATGTTATTCAGAAAAAAATACATTGCATATTTCTTGAGTCACGTAGCATCCATTAAATCTTTCAAGAAATTTTCATTTTGAGAATGAAATTTTTTTTTTTGTGCTCACTGCTGCATTTTCTATGGGAACGTGTTACGGTAATCCTCACTTTTTCTCCAATAAATGTCAACTTAAATACTAGACAAAAAAAGTTGCTCACATTGATGGGCGATCTAAAAATGAGTTTGGCTGGGGATGTGTGACGAGATCTATTTGCAGTCACCAAATCATCTGCGGCCATTTAACGAAGTGAAATCGGACATCGCCGACTCAACATTTCGTCGCATCAAGACAGAACTCCTTTCCCGTGCAATTGTTGTCTCGTGCTGAGCTAATCTGCGTCGCTCACCAGTTGAAAAAGGGGGTTCTCGGCCAATGTGTTAGCTGAGTATAATGTCTGTAATCGCCTAGTGCGATTTCTGCGAGAAAACTTGGAGGCAGAGGAAGGACGAACGGAGGACAGAAAAAGGTGGAGGACACTTGGCGGTGCCGGTAAGAATGATTGAACAAAGGATGTATGGCGTTCGAGGCCATTATAGATAAGTGCTGTGAACCAACTCATCCATGCCACACGAAACTTTGGAGTGCCAAAATTGCATGACATTTTATTTCTTCTCTGAGTGCCTCGGAGACCAGAGCACTGAACTGACAGTGCCAAAATGCCGGGTTCAACTCTGAGCAGCCACCCCAGGACTCTTGTAAGTTGATGGTCCCAGCCAGGTAAACTCGTGGCTGCACACAAAAACCTATCGTATAACATTTGGTTTTGCACTTAACATTGTATTTCTGAAAAATGCAAAATATCAGTTTGGCTGGCTTGGAATGTACATTACTCTTCATTAGTGTAGTTGGGAATGCCATGTCTCTTAATATGCATACGAGATCAATTGAGGGGATCTCAGAAGCAGTTTTGTCATAGCTACTTCTGCAGACCATACCCTAACTGCTCTGGGAGTACTGAATGGATTCATACACTCACAGCATAACACTATCAAAATAAAATTGTGCACAAAGGAATAGTAATAAGAAATGTCTTGTTGCATGTAGAACACGTGCCTTGAACAATGACCATGAAATGCATTCAATACAATTTATGCAAATGGTACGACCGTGTTACATTACTCACGATGTGGACAAAAGTACAAAGTGCATCGGTAACAAAAACATGAATACGAGAGGGAGTAATGGAGGGAAGCAAAGTAAAACAACATTGAGTTGAATCGTGACTCCACATCGAGGCAATTCACAAAATCGCCGGGGGGTAAATCGTTCCATGCTCCGTAATTGGGCGAGCAGCAACGGAGGCACGGCGCGAAGGACGTTTGGGTCGTGCCGTGCGGTGTCTCTTCACAATCATAATCAGAATGTGTAGACTGCAGGAGGAATCCTATGGGCTATGAAGTTGAGCAAGTTACAACAGCAAATTATACAAAAGGAGTGCAACATAGAGAAAATGGTAGGCGAGTTACTAAATATCACTAAGAACTAAAATCATTATATGAGTCTAATTTATCAAGATTGGGCAAGGCAGCAAAAACAACAACACAATCCTAGACCATCCAAAGATACCATCTCACAGTAGTAGTCCCTCAATAAAATGGCACATTAATATGGAATTGTCGACACGACACACGGCTAACGATCAAAGTTTGCAAATCACATTTGCAAATGTAACCGTCGTATGCAGCACGAGTCTTCTGCTTTCATCATATTTTTTAAAGGAAGATTTACGATGCTAATGGAGGAAACAAAGGTTGTTTCCAAAACGTTGCACGTGGTCACCTCCTCGTGCGGTGCCTTCTCCATCACCTGTGCCATCAGGCGCGGGAGGGAGGGGGTGGACGCTTGGAGACCGCAACTCCTGTGCTGTGATCTTCAATTTTCTTTTCAAGATCCAATATTTTCACGACAGGTTTGAAAGAGTGCAAGCGACTGTTTAGGTCCATATTACCAGATACTGTAGACATATGGAGCCCCTTTGAGAGAAAGGCCATCTTTTCTTTTGTCCAATGTGTGCTTGTGTCATATCCTCCCCAGGCTTAGCACAACGTTCACCACCACCCACTCGAAGCCACCACCAGACAACACGAACGAACCATGGGGGCCTTACAGTGAACACACGGTAGGAGTCCTCTCTCTCTCTCACCCGAGTACAACATTCCAAAACCACACTCTGGCTTGAGACTGGGCCTCGTGCGAGCTCAAGCTCCTCTGAGCTACAAATGCCCGCTCCACCCCTCTTTCATCACCTCGTTCTTTCCAAGACCTTCCACACCCTCTGTCTTGCTGTCTCCTCCACCCGCCCCCTCGAGATATCCCCCCCCCCCCAAAAAAAAATACCCCACTCGTACTTATACGCTTACCTTAGGCCCAATTCAATCCACGAGCCACTACACCTCGAGCAGAAGTTGTCCATTCGCCCCCCCCACTACCCCCACCAGTGTAAGTATGTGTTGCTTATATTAGAATTGTGCTTATACAAGGTGTGGATATTTCCAGCTTCTGCTTCACAAGTCAGATGGAAATGTATGCCAGTTTCTAAATTCGTCGCAGGATACGGAGGGTGGGCTGTGTTTTTTAGGGTTCTCTTCAAATGTCACACCAATGGCGTGTAACTGTAATTCGTGAGTTTTCCGTTTTGAATGTGCCCCTATTAAAAATGAAATAAGGTCAACTGCTCTCAGATCAGGTCCCAGCCAAGCGTGCTGACCTCACACCCACAATCATCGGTGCGCGAACTTAACATTAAAATAATAACCACAATAACACAGCAACTATAAACATTGTTGATAGGTTTGTGTTACCATCGTATGCAGACCGATTGTCGTATCCTCTATCAGTGTTTCTAAATAGAAGGGTTTTTTTTGTTAACAGATGAAATTGTCCACTCACCTGAACAGTGCACCTTGATTACTCTTTCCCCGTCAGGGAAAAAACATCAAGTGCAAACATTGTGACTTGCATCCATTATTTACAATTGTGAGATTTTTTTTCAGCTACTCATGCACATCCGTGTATTCTCATGAAATTTTAGTGTGCGATTTTTTTCTTGAATTCTTGTGTTCTATTTCGATTTAAAGCTTTCGTGACTGCAGGGATTCATCTTCTTGGTTCTTTCGGTAAAGTCACGTAGAAGGGAAGTTCTATTCTTCATAAGCACAGCCTCAGCTGAATTTCAGTATTTAATCATTTATATCTTTGGCAGAGAACCCTGAAGCAGCTTTATATCTAGATATGCATATTGCACTTGATAACGACCCGAGCTTATCTATTTACAATTATGTTGTGTCTTGTGGAATTGCACGTATAATAGTAAGTACTAGACCAAAACAATTCATTCCCCAGCGATATAAAAAATTACCATTCGAAATCTCAATTATATAAAAAAAAATGTTCTGTTTTTGTCCCGTTATTGCCAACGCGTTTGTATAGTTTTGCTTACTGTATTCACCCAAATCTAGCAGTGACCTATCATTTTAATGTACAGTAATTGACATTAATAACATCTTCAATCACATACAGAATTTGATACGTGTGTTGTATAAGCATAATAACCTATGTCAGTTCACGAATCCATTCCTAGTTGGTTGCCTAATTAGAGTGTAGCACCTACCTCAGTCATCGTCATCACCCCCCCACCCCAATTTCGTGGCACATCATAACGCAGCGTTCTTCATTACAAGGCTCAGTGGGTCACTTGGCGGCCCCTGGTGGCCTTTAGTGCGGCCCCTGACGTGCACCAGAGGTCGCAAACGGGTTTTGATTCCTTACCCGCACCCGTACCCGGCCGCACCAGGGTCGCAAACGGGTACCCGGCCGTACCTGTACCCTACCCGTACCCGGCCGGGTATCGGGTAGGGTACGGGTATCGGGTACCTGATTGCGACCTCTGGGATGAAGCCATGTTGCAGGCGCGGGTGGGTTGATTCTAGGAACTTGAATTGTGAGAAGAGACAAGACGTTGGGAAATGAGTGACAAACAGTTACTCACCATATTCTTAGGTTTTTTCGGTAAAGTCACGTAGGTTTTTTACCTACGTGACTTTACCGAAAAAACCTAAGAATATGAATCATTGCAGTCACGAAAGCTTCAAATCTAGTTACTCACCAGTGACTCACGGTCTACCCGTACCCGTACCCGGCCGCACCAGGGTCGCAAACGGCTACCCGTACCCGGCCGGGTACGGGTAGCCGGGTATCGGGTAGGGTACGGGTATCGGGTACCCGGTTGCGGCCCCTGACGTACGCCCCCCGACAATACACGTGTGAACACCCCCCCCCACCCCCCATCATCGTCATAATTGTGCTGCTGTTTCAAATGTGTGGCGGCCCTCACGCTGATGGTGTCTGATGGGTGAAAGTGCCCCCCCCCCCTCTTACAATTACGGAACAACACTGCCGTAAAACATTCACATCAATAGGTTCATAATTTAATTAACTCTTAATCTCATGCCGCAGTTGTGAAATGTATGCCCCATTTAGAATGAGGTGTGCATAAGAGACAGGTGTGGTTCCACCCGTTGCGACTCGGAGCACTTAAACAATTGCCAATGCTGCTGTGGCATCGTGGTCGGCACACCGGCAGTGCAGAGGTAAGATCATAAAAATGAGATCCTCTATCCTGGAGAAATCCGATGAGTTATGAAGCTCTTTTCCACAGATATCCAGTCGGGGCAGGCCATGAAGTTACAACAACAAGTACAGAAAAGCAGGTTGCTGCTGCATTTTCCTGGCGTGGCAGTTGTCAATCAATTGTGCAAGATTCTGAACCCCCCCGACTCCCTGTCCATCCAGCAGTATAAATAAACTAAACAAAAAAATTACGTTACCAAAAATGGCAGATCATGTGCGGTGGGGAAAACTGTGGATACTCCACCTCTGCTACGATGCCCAGCCAGTGTGGAAGAGTAGGCCAAATACCCTGTTGAGGGGCTCTCCAGAATCTGCCTCTATTCCGAGACCCTTCTGCCAGCGGTGATGTGAGCACGCGACTTCAGGACCGCACTTTAACCTGTTTAATGGAAGCTTGTATTGATTTAATGTTGTGGCGTTAACAAGTCTCGTGTTTAGATGTTGTAGTGCTCGTACATTTTCACGTTTGAATAATAAATAATTGAGCTCTTCTCCATCCACCTCCACCAGCTCACATCCCCCGTGGTCACAATGCGTACGTGTCTTTCGGGAACCATACTTCTGCTGTTGAACACGTAAGCTTTCGCGACCAATATTATCAATAATATAGGGGTTTTTTGGGTTAGATCGCGTAAATATAAATGTGTTGTTAAACCCGCCACCTGTAATTGATATGCATGCATTAATCCCCCCCCCGCCTTCGAACTTAAAGGGCTCAAAAGTGACGTCATCACACCTATCCCTCTATTTAAGGAACGAAAGAGGATTTCTCCACAAATCTGGCTGTCGCCTGATGAAGCTAGTTGTAATTACTGGCGAAACGTCGTACTCAGATTGTAAATGTTGTGGATTTGCTCTCCAACACACCGGTGTGATGTACTAGTAACGAATTGGCCACGTTCTGTTCACGTGACAACCCTTACTAGTTGGCCGTGTCGGGTGGTGGCGGGTTTAACGACACGTTTATATTTACGCGATCTAACCCAAAACACATATTATTAACATATTTCTGCTGCTCGCCAAGTAGTGCTAATTTCAAGTGCCTAGTAGATCTTTCTGGTTGTAGTTGTGGCTTTTTATTCTTCAAAGTGCGTCATGCAAAGGGGCCCCCGTGCAAGGTAAAACACAACCTGCAGGATCTGTACAAATGTGCATATTTCAGAGGAGTTTTGTGCAAAAATAAAAAATAAAATTAAACGAAGGCTTTGCTATCTTCGCTTTGCGGGGAGGGGGGGTATAATTAAATGTTGTGCGTGTGTTTAAACGAAGCTGTTGAGAGTCCACAGAATGTCTATGTACTACAGCACGACAGTTTACTACACGAAATAATGTATATTCCAATATACTCTTCACTTTTAAATTATGTCTATAAAATATACGAGTGCATTTGACAACATAGGTATACAACGCCACCGCAAATCATTTTTATTTTCATGTTTTGTTTAATGAAGACAAAAAAATCACCACGGTGTTTACTGTAATAGCTCTGAATTTTTTCTTGTTTTAAAGTTGTACCGACTACGTTCAAATAAAATAACGACGATAGAAATGATTATTAAATTAACATGGCTTTGTGGGGGAATCATAACCATTTAAACATCGACTTCTTAAAACACCGACCTGTGACCTTGGCGACATTCACGTTCAGAACTTTACATAAATCACGGGCATTTAAACTTGAGGGTAAAACATCAGGGGTGTAAAGACGCACCGATTACAGTAATATGTATCCTTTAACCTCATGTTGCGTACACGTGATCTGTATGTGTTGTGTGTAATGAGCTCACATGACACCCCTGCAGCTGCTAAGAGGCCGCTACGTTCACACACATTTTTTTTATTGTGACCCATGTTTTGTGACAGTTCGTTGAATCGCCTGTAAGGTGAATCATTACACTCCTAAAATCTAGGCCCCTTACACTACACGAGAGGTAGCCTGCAGAAAAGCAGAGCTACAACCGGACACGACGGGAAGGGCCCAGCTGTATATCTGATGTTTGTAGTGTGTGTATGTACGTTGAACTTCTTTCGCACCGTACGTAGCCAACCATGCTAATTGGAGGTGTGCGGAGGAAGGTCAGTAAACTAAACACAAAAGGCAGTTTAATGTGGGGAGCAATAGTGAAGCAGTTAGTGCGCTACGAACCTGGCCAACCAAGTCCGATTCCCATGCACGGCAACCAACACCAGTGACGATTATTTGAACCGGTCATGGGCCTCCCCTACGTCGACTCAGCCTAGAAATGAGTACCTGGTGTGGTGTGTAGTAAACATCGCCACTGGGGAGACAAAGGCGGTCGGGCGTGGTGTTGGCCACCCACCCCCTCGTGTAACCGGGGGAAATGTGATGATTGAAGGGGAATTCAATTGCAGGCCAGTGCGAGGAAAGAAGCAGGAAGGGAAGCATTTTGGAACTGGAAATTTACCAAACCAAAGTATCACACAGGTCCAGCCCCATTCATGGACCTCATTGTGAATAATGGGATGCCCAAGGATGAAAATGGGGGTTGTGGGGAGTAATTTACGTGAGGGGCCTAATTGGCGCAACACCTGCGAATTCTGTGTTGGGCCCAGTGTGAGCTGTGTGTCTCGAGAATATAGTCATAAGCGATTGTTAAATTTGAACCAGCAGCAGTGACAAGGTTGGGGCGTTTACAAGAAATTCACCAATCGAATTACTGCATTGTGCCCACTTGATTACCGAGTCGACAGAGGCGATTTTGGAAAATAAATTCAATTCCACAATTTCAGTCGGATTTGAACCTCAATTCCCCACGTCACATTACAGCTCTTGCATGTCAACCCTTACCGCTCAAATGCTTCCCCATGTGCCTCTGCACATGTAATCAAATGTATTCTCTGCAATCAGTCACACCATTGTGCATGCATTACTATGAAAATATGGAAATTCCGCGATGAAATAACATTTTTTCCCTGACTCAGAGGCTTTTGGAGGCTGCTTTTCCATATGGTTCCAGCGGCCAATTGTTGCTATGTATTTGGAAGTTATTAAATGTGTTTCGTTTCCCCGTCAGATTTACAACAGAGCACAAATTGAATTTGTAAAAAAAAAAAGGCACCTAGATATAAAAGCGTCTCAATATGTTGTATAATTGTGAAATCTTCCTCATCTACGGATGTGGAGAATGGTTGCTTTATGGGAGCAGGAAATGAGGGGTGAAATTCTACTGACCAGGGTATAGCGTTATTGTAAAAGGGCAGTGGGGAGTGGCGATGCAGTGGTTAGTAGACTGCGTTTTCAACCCAGTGACCTGAGTCTGATAATATAGTAAGTCATGGCGACATCGGCGGAAAGTGATATCTGTACTTGTTCTAGGCCCCTGTCTTCAACTTGCAAATGGCCATCTTGGTGAACTACTGTTAAACAATCCACATGACCAGCAGTTGATTGACAAATAGCTCTAGTTTTTTTCATTGCAGAAGTGCTAATTGTTTAACTTTTAACAGATAAATTATACCAACACAAACAACAGCTTAATAGCAGTATATATTCATTATCTATTTATCTGTGCATACATTTAAAATAGTAAACTACAATACTGCACAGACACATTACAATAGACTGAGTGCCTCATTTTCATCAACCTCAACCTTTTGTGGGTAGGCAAAGCTGACCTTAAATATAACATGCACTGAATATTTAAAACACGGTACACTGAAACATCTCCTCAGTATAACTACATTGACACTGACATTGACACTTATTAAAGCAACTAGGTTTGAAGCTAAACCTATCTATAAACCAGTTATCGTATAATTTTGGCCACGTAAGTCCCACAACCCGTTTCTCAATTGACAGACACATTTCAATACAAAGCACAGTACATCGAATATTTAAACTGTCCTTAAACTGCAGTCCTTACATCAGAGAATGTCAGATAATATGTAGATTGAGTCTAGTTTGATAACCTCTGATCCAACAAAAATGTTTTGTGCCCATGAAAAGCCACACCATGGTAGGCATGACTTTTGGTCTGGGTTTGGAAAGCATCCACTACCAGGACATTCATTTTCAAGAATGTCGTTCATGGGAACCGTAAAATCATTTTGTAATCAGTGGAGAACCGGCAGCAGGGATGGTGCAAGTGGAGATTGCCAGCGTAGGGAGAGGTGAGAGTGACAGATTAAAGTAAGGAGGAGAGGCATTTATTGGCATCCATAACCCACACTTTACTCAAAGCCCCAATGCTAACCTATTAAAACCAGTGTCCTTGTCCTACCCTTGTGACCAAATCTCCTGAGACCAGCACAAAACCTCCAAGGTCACAGTTCAGGGCCCCGATCTGAAGTTGGTAGTAGTTGTGGTGTTGGATCCGAGAAGCCCCCCCCCCCTCACGCGTGTCCTCAGCTCACGATGGCACAGATGGTTGGACGTTGACTTTGGCTGATAGCACTGTCTCCTCGGATACCAGCAGCTCTTCGGCCCATTCCTCTTCAGGCATGGCCGGGACAGGTTGCTGCTGCTGCTGCTGCACATCCCTGGGACGTCGCTGAACTCTGCCTGCACCTGCTGTACAACAAGAACAACCAAAGATCCTCCGTTTAGCCTGAACAGACTCTAAGGGCAAGCTGTTAGCGAGATGAAGGGCGGCACGGACCACGAGGGGGTGAGATGCCAGCACCACGCCCGGCTACCTTTGTCTCCCCAGTGGTACTCATTTGAGTCTGAGTCGACCTAGGGGAGGCCCAGGACCTGTTCAGAAAGTTGTCGCTGGTGTTGACCGTGAGCCGGAATTGAACTCGGGTTGCCAGGTTCATAGCGCACCGTACTAACGACTATACTACCGCTCCCACATTCTGCATATACACATATGCATATACAGTAGAATGTGTACACATGCTCAAGAGAAACATTTTTTACATTGACTATCACTGAAGATCATGTTAGTGAATGAAGCGACCACTTGTGGCTGCAGTGGTCACATTAACCGTTTACATGCCACATAGAAAGAGACAAAAATACATTCTTACAAAAACACACATACGGATGCACAGGTTTTGAGCTTAATAATTCAATATTGATATAAAATAAAAGCAATGCCTCTTTATGATTGCGGGTGTATTCATAATAGGATACGTGCCCCTGATGTAATTCAAAAAGAGTAGACAGTTGTGTGCTGGCTTTTGTAAAATGCAAATTATGCCACAGATCACTCATTTGGGATCACACGCAGTGTCGGATTATCCTCGTAGCAAAAGTAGCTGCATATGCTACGGGGCCCGCACTTTCAAGGGCCCCGCGCTAAATGCTTTCAAGCTATAAATTCCGGTTCAGTGATTCTGCACTTCCTCTATTACTATAGTACTGTACTGCCTTCAACTTTCATGGACGACTGGGTGTTTACGGTTAGCGATTTGTCGTATTATCTGGCTGTATAGCAAGTAAAAAAATATACCATTACTCTACTGTGCAAGTTAACATTTAGTGTTTTAATATTTGTGTTTTTATTTATTTAGGGTCCCTTAATAACATATGCTACATGCCCCGCACTAGCTTAATCCGGCACTGATAACACGGGGCATTAATCGTTGACTAAATTCTCATTTGCGGGCAAGGGACATCTCTTGGTAAGTTTTTCAAGAGAGTAGAGGAAACACGAGCACCAAAGGGAAATAGCATCGACATCTGCAGAATATGGAGAACCAGTGGCATCTACATCTGGAGAACATGAAGAACCAGTGGCATCTGCAGAACATGAAGAACCAGTGGCATCTGCAGAACATGAATAACCAGTGGAATCTACATCTACAGGAGATTATACAACTTTTAAAGCCATTCCCCGTGTTTCATGTACATGTCGTACAACATGTTTGGAATCTACAGGAGTAAAGTTGGACTTAAGAAGATATTGACTTACGAGCAGACCTCTGGAACCTAACTTGATCGTAAATAGAGAAGTCCCTACAAACATAATTCGTATAAGGTCGCATATACAAACGAACCACAGCACCTTGCTGATCTCGTCAAGGAACATACACCATCGTGCAAACTTCGGTCATCCTCGCAGTGGCTTGTGGCGAACCATCGAACAAAGACGGTCACTGCATCGTGAGCTTTCAGATGCGCTTCTGCGACCGTCTGGAATGCCCTGCGTTCCCATATTATGAAGCCACTAGGAGCTATACACTTTAAATTCCAAATAGAAAACTCAATTCTTTCGAACAATTTTTGTTGTGTTTATTACTTTTGTCCTTCCCCCTGCACGCACGTTATTATTACACCGCTGCGTCTGGGGGTTCAAGATAGTTGCTGCATGTCTGCACGTCTTGACTGTGACCGTACCAAGAGCCAGCGGAGGGACCTGGTACACAGGTGTGTCCTTTCTCCGCGGTTTCCTGGGCGCCTCCTCCACTGATGGCAGTGTCTCCGGCTCCTCCTTGTCGACATCCCCTACACACACAGAGAGGGTGTCACTGCGGTACACGGAGGGGCTCTCCATCATGCTCGGCCAGAACCGGCCCTAGACCTTTGGGGGCCCTAAGCAAAATTTGGTTAGAGGCCCCTTTGATGTATGATTTTTTCACCCACTAGCTAGCAGTGACTCTAGGCCACGGGGCCCTTTGCAATTGCAAGGGTCGCTTAGTGGCTGGGCCGGCTCTGTGCTCGGCCCTGGTCAAACTCTGGAGGATGCTCGGATTGCAGTACATGTGTCTTCTGTACACTGAGCATAATTGATTCTTCTACTGATTATCATTTTGGTTACTCGACTAATCGGAGAACGTGAAATATATTTTGGGGAACAACATCTCACCAACAACAACCGCCATTCGCCACTAAGTGGCGGTGACGTCACCACTGCGCTTGTGCCAGGCTATGTGTACTTTAAGGCCACGTGAAGTGTCGAACGCCCGCTGGCAGGTCACCGGACAGACCCAGGTGCCATGGGTTGAATTACTTAAATGACTGGCCGATGCACCACCTGTGCCCCCTACTGTGCCAACTTGCTTGTTTTAGCTGCCTGGCGCTCCACTCGTTGTTGTGAGTGCCGCTCCTCTGCCCTCCATTGTTGCTGGGAGGTAATTGTCTCCAACTCCCCAGTCGCATCCTTCACGAGCCTCCTCCACAGAGGCCGATGTTAACACCGCTGGTATCAGTCATCAGTAAGTCCACTCAGCTCCACATCCTCTTGTATCACATCATTCCATCTCTACTCTAGCCCGTGCTGCGCCCATTTAGCCCCCTCTATCTGGGCCGAATAAAAGCTGTTTAGGCATGCGGTGGCTGGGCATGCGGGCTATATGATCCAGCCAATGTAGTCTCACCTGGGTCTGTGCCACGGGCGGGAATGTAATGGGCAAAGCTTGGTGATGTTTATTGCTATCATCAGCCAGGTGGCACTGGGTGTGACTGCGAGGGGATTTCCCAATATTAGGAGAGTCCCAATAAATAAACCATGAAAAACATAGTTAATTGCATTTTTTTTTCGATTCATATACTTAGTTAAATAATTATCCCAGAAATAACATCGATAAGGTTAGCGAAATTGGAATGGCCAGTTCCACATTTATTTACGTTAATCATTATTCTTAACACGAACGGGTTTTAATGTTTATATGATAACACATATAGCCCCGCTGAACCCAAAAGTTAAGTCTTTATTTTAAGATGGTATTATGGAACAATTTTGAGTCACCCACGTAGCAATGAGCACGGTTAGCTGTGTACAGTGCAAAATAAGTTTAACATAAATCCAAACAGCAATGCGTGGTATGGTGGCATCGTAGTTTTTACAGTGCACTATGAATCCGATTACCTTCGTTCAATTCCCAGCCATGGATGACATCAGTGGCAAGTGATATCAAAACTGGTCCTGAGCTCACCTTCACAACTGACCAGCATGGTAAAAGATAGTAAAAAAAACTACCAAATGGCATCAGAAGCCCTACACCCATCAGTCGATTGACAGAGAGCTGTATCGTATAATTATAATAATTTACATATCATCCTAATCATAATCATCACTGATATGCCAAGTATTATCATGGAGCAATTCGGTTTCGAGGGGTATTCTGGCATCAGCGCTAATACCTCAAGCCTAACGGTGGCACCTCGTAAGTGTTCAGAATGGGGCAGTCTGATAATTAAATGAATATGTGTGACTTAGATTATATGGCTACAGCCAAGTTGTTCTTGTAGAGAATCAGAGTTTTTCCTGTGCTTGGCACAACGTGATTTGCTCGTAAACATTTAATTGAGAGGGATTAAAATTCACGTCCTGCAGATTGCAAGGGTTGGTGTTCAATTTATTGAGATGTCTTCTTTTCGTGTGCTACATGACCTCATGTTTATTGGCTATTAATATGCTCAATGAGGTCAATTGTATTGCAATGAAGCAAATCTTGTTTAAATTAAGTTGTTATGCCTAACCTCGAGGCACGTCGAAATGCGCCTAGTTAATACAATCTCAGAAGCTAAGCCGAGCCGAGTCACGCTATCACATGAGTGGAAATCCACCTGGGAAGATCAGGCATTATAGGCTTGGGCTGAAAGTGTTACTTCCTCGAGTGAGTGGGGTTTTCTCAAGTGCTACAGTCTCCTCCCACGTGCCAAACACTCCGACGTGTACACAACAAGTAACGCTTTTACTTCAGCCCGTTTCTCACTGCCTCCACTGCATCGCAACATCACTACTGTGAATCTGATTTTGGTTTCCCACTTAAATCAGGTCATTGGTTCCACGAAACCTGTTGCTAAGTGACTTGGTCGTTCAGCGAGTATAGGAAATGCATGCTAATTTCTTAATTCGTTCCGATTGCATCAAAAGTGACACCTTTTTCACCCCAAAAACTTACTTTATAATATTTAAGCAATGGATATTAATACATAAATATAATAACAACATTATAAGCACGTCGTATTCAAATAAACATGGTTAATCAATGCATTAATGCATATTTACTGTAACTACAAAAGCCCATCGTTAACAGGGGAATGGTCCGTAAGTGAACACATCAGGCTCTATAGATGCCCGTGGTTAAGCGATTAGTCGTTAATAGGGGTGGTCGTTAAGATGGGTTCTACTTTACACTACTATACACTACACTACTATACACTACACTATACACTACACTACCATACACTACACTATACACTACACATTGAGTTCGAGGGATGCCCATCAATAAGCGATTGGTCGTTGACAGGGCTGTTCGTTCAGAGGGGTTCTACTTTGTTTTAATAGGGGGAAGGACTTTTTTCAGACTCTAACTGACACCATGTGCCACAATGGCATTCGCCAAACAACCAAGTCCAGAACCCTACTGAAAAAGTATTGAGATTCAGTGAGGCTTTACTGGGAAGATAGCATTATTATCACTTATAATGAAAAAAATGCACGTTAAATGGGATTCAAATTGGTAGAATAATCTCTGCAATGGTGCCCATAAACATTACATTTTCTATGTATATGATGTATACTGCAGGCTAAATTTTAAACAACTGGTACGCAAATGCAAGAAGAGCCATGGCATTTGGCAATAGCACTGCCTTCCAACAGCAAAATAAACAGTACTCTGATGTTTCAAGCAACAAGGGACTTTCCTTGAAGCGTCCACTTCATATATTTTTCTCCTATGAAGAAGCCCGAATGACGCATGTGGCACGTTGCTTTTAAATATGGAGTAGGTAATTCAAAAACAATGTTTATTTTACATTGTAGTGAATGTAGTGGCCGAAACTGACTGGAGTGGAGGTCACGCGGATGTATTACATACAATATATATTTTTGAACATTTAAATACAATGACGTTCACACATGATTCAATGCATGTATTGTGAGCTTCATAATCGATACGACTCAAAGAATGAATACATCGATACAGCTCTCAAACACATTGCAAACACAGTATCCGTTCCTTTGAGGATAATTTCGTTCTCTATCTCCCAAGTCAGCCTGTTGCCACCATTGTCTCTGCCACCTTTGACCTAATGGTCGTACAGACTGCAAAGTTCATATTTCCTGCATGGTTATGTGAGAAGCAGTGCCAGGTGAGTAAACCTCCCAAAGGTTTTATCTGATTTGCTCACAATCTGAAGCGTGGTACTTTAAAAATAAGATGCAAATCAAACAGTCTAGCAGCATAGTCAATAGTTGTTTTATTATTAATACTACTGCCTATCTCCCTGGCTCCTCCCCCCTTCTTACCCTATATAATCGCTTATCACAAATAGCTCTCTCTACTCCCTACAGTAATTTTGCTGTGGCTGTTCCACTTGATGACGGAAGCTTGTGTTGCCTCCGAAACGTCGTGATTTAATTGAGTTATTTTCATTTTATTATTATTTTATTATTTTTTCATCTACGTGACTTTACCTATCAATTAGCTGCCCTGTCTAATTCGTTAAAATATATATTGGAATCCAGGTGAGCAAACTATCAAATAAAACAATAATTTTATACAAGTGAAAAAGTTAATTTAAAACCCGCTGCTGAATGAAGGCATCCCCCATCCATGCCGTGCCAGTCATGAGGGTTTTTTGAACATATTTCACCGCGTTGGTCATCGCACTTTGATGAAGAGGTACCCTGGACCAATTCACACATGCCTTGTGACTGATGAGAGCCCTGGCGAGAAATCAAAGTCAAATTCACAATGCAGTGTACTGACCTATTGCTCCATCCCAAGGAATGTGTGTGTTTCTCGTGTGACCATTGCAATAATTTAGTTAAATTCACGGGAGCAACGAACATTCAAAATAACCTACAATGACAACTTCTGGTGCAAATCAATTGCAAGTTGAAAAACCTATTCATCGGAGGTTGCTTCTACAATGACAAATGTACCATATGGTGCTGCAAATATGCAGAAGCCCCCTCTCTATAAAAAAAATATGAACAGACACGTATATGAAAGAGGGTCCACTAACGAAGGTGAAGCACCTGTCAGTCATGCCCGGTCATTCCTCCGCCAACAGTCACTGATTAATGCACGAATACCATTAACCGAGCATTGGCTCTCCTAACCAATTAATTCCGCAAAGCCACTCTCATTTGATTAGCTCCTAATGAGTGAGCGTGTTCTTCTTTTAATGTGGCTGTTTAATTCTCAAAATGAAATGCAGTCCACTATGCGAAAAACAATTCGTATTAAAGAGAAATGTACATCATCAAATAAGTTCATTAATTATAATCAGGTCTCTACTATGTGAAATAAGATATTTTTGAGCGGGAAATTTACTCAAATTATACACAGAGCAATGGTACTGATTTTAGAAGAAATGTGCAGCATTTTCAGGTACAATTTACACAGCATCTTATATGAAATGGATTTTGATTAAGCCAGACACTTCAATAACCATATTCTGTTAAATCTTTGTTCCATATTTCTAATATAAGCTAAACAACACATTTAAGAACACAAATATTAACAATAGCCCTTCATCAATAATGTGCTGGATTAAGCCATCACCGTGCCTCTCCGTCATGGGGAAAGTTTGATGACATTCGATGCTGGTCGGTGCACGTGAATGAAGTAGGGTTGGTCAGGACCAGTTCACATATCACTCACCACTGATGTTAGGAATCAAATTCAGGTCGCCTGATTGACATTACAGTGCCGCACATCTCCACCCAAAGTTAAATGCGTAAGAAAACATTCATGTCAAAATGTCCCTTCATTTCATTCAACTGACACACGTGTGTAAATCACGTGTCTACTATAAATGTGACCATTGTTTCTTCACGTGCTTCACCTGGACTCTGGGCCAAGGCAGGAGTCTCTGAGTCAGAGTTCAGCCCAGCCACTCTCGCGACTTCTCCACCCGCGTCCCATGTGACCTCGGCACCTGCCGCTACTCCATTGGGCCCCTCCTTAGCAGCTCCGTCTGTTCCAGCGCCGCTCAGCTGCTGCTCTGTGCAGCACAACTCCAGTGCGTGGCGAAGCTCTGTGGATAAAGGTCATTCGTTTACCAAGAAATGGTTCCATTTTATTTAGACATTGAATAACCCACAGTGCGACTGCGGACATCAATCTCGGAGCTGTGGACCACGTGGTACACCGCTGCACACTTCGATCATCCACCGCAAGCGTTTCAGACATTCATCACCAAGCTACTCCTGAGGCTCACGAACCGTGGCATGAACATAAACGCAGTGCCGATCGATTCCCCGCCATATCAGTGAATACGTTGAGATGACGTAACATTAATTAAAAAGAGTAATTACTGAAGTGTTATAGATGGTTGAGCCACATGTTAAAGAAGACTTTAGTTAATTTACACACTTATTTACTGGAATTCATACTCTTCACCATGGACAATTTTTGATTATATAGACGGAATTTGTCCTGAGAATTTGTTGACTTCTTGGTTCTTTCGGTAAAGTCACGTAGAAGGGAAGTAATAAAATAATAAAAATAAAACATAATAAAATAAAATAATTCTCACGACGTTTCGGCTACAACGCAAGCAGCCGTCTTCAGGTGAAGAATGAGACACTACCAAACTAGGAGCTTATATATATGAATCCCTGCAGTCACGAAAGCTTTAAATCGAAATTGTTGACTGTGAAGACATGAACATTACATCTTGACTTAAAGCTTTCATGATTGCAGGAATTCATATTCTTTGGGACATTCAGTAAAGTCACGTAGATAGGTTCAAAGAAAATAACAAAAACTACGACGCTTCCATTGCAACACAAGCGTTCGTCATCAGGAAGAAAGCTTGTGTCCGGAGTTTTTTGTAATTTTTTGTTCTTTTATTTGAACCTATCTACGTGACTTTACCGAAAGACCCAAATAATATGACAAGAACATTCATATTGATATGCACAAGCAGCTCAGTATGTTTTTTAATTAAATAAATGCATTCAATAAAAAACAGAAATCTCCATCAGTTTTTATTAATGGGAGACCTGCTAATCCCTCGCAGTCCGCCGTTTTGTAATTTGCAATATTCTCTACGCATAATTATAAAATAATTTGGCCATGTTGCGCTGGCTGTGGTGCACAAGCAGAAAAAACAAATGTTGACAATTATTTTGAGGTTTTTCTATTCATATGCATATTAAGGCACTGCACGCCTCTTGCAACCTGCTGGTTGGTAATCATGGAAAGATGATACGGAGTCGTGAGGACTGAATTTGAAGAGCACAGCTCTTGCGTAACGTCTCGTCTAAAGCACATTACTTATACCACACATTTATTCTCAGAACAAAGCTCCGAGGCACTGTCTGAGTCATGGAAGCTTGACTCAACTGGGCAGTTAACATTTCCTGTCGCAGTGTGAGCCTATCTCTGTGGTTCGTTGATAGTTCTGAATACAAGCAAACAGCGATATAAAAATAATCCTGCCAGATAAAACCCGTCTAATCTCGTGATATCAGAGGTCGCGTCAAATTTCGAAGAAAGCACTGCAGTAAACTACCGTACAATGCAGTGGTGCAGCGTTGTTGTTGTTGTTGGCAGGAGCCCTGGTACAAGCAATGAAATGTGGCCCAGCGTCTCACCCCCCCCCCCCCTCTTTATCACCATCCGCCTGGGGCCTCTCCAGCCTGTGGGTCCCCCAGTGCAGTCTCACCACCTGCACACTCAATAGCCATGCCACTTGTATAAGCCAAGGAGAAGCCAACTATTATCCTTCTTCACGTTTAATATTGCATTTACCTTTCTCAAAACAACAATTATGCACGAGCATATTTTATATTAGTCACAACATGAAATCGTATTATTTTTAGTATGGAAAAAAGGAAAATAGTTTTCAATAAGATAAAAAAACTATACTTTTGTAGTGAATCCAACTGAGTAGCAGACGTTACCTTTGGAGTAACACTATTTATTCACGTAACCATACGTAACATAACACAACCTACGCTGGGGTCTCGAATGCCCATCTAGCCACGCTAGAAGTGAGCCACGGAGCCCTCGTTATATACCCCAGGGCTGCGGCTGGCTCCGCCCTTAGCCCCGCCCACCTTCCAGGCTTCTCGAGCTCCTTCTCGAATGTTCCCGAGAGCTCTCCTGGACCACGTGACCGCCCCTCGGACCCCGTCCACCGGTGGCCCCCCTCCAGTATCGTCCGGTCACGTGACAACAGGTCAGCCAGATTTCGATGTAAAGCTTTCGTGACTGCAGGGATTCATCTTCTTGGTTCTTTCGGTAAAGTCGCGTAGAAGGGAATTAATAAAATAATAAAAAATACAACATAATTAAATAATTCTCATATTATATTTTATTTTTAATATTTTATTATTTCCCTTCTACGTGACTTTACCGAAATTTTTCGATTTAAAGCTTTCGTGACTGCAGGGATTCATCTTCTTGGTTCTTTCGGTAAAGTCACGTAGAAGGGAAGTAACAAAATAATAAAAATAAAACATAATAAAATAATTTTGACGACGTTTCGGCCACAACGCAAGCAGCCGTCCTCATGTGAAGAATGAAACACCACCAAGCTTGTGGACGAAACATCGTGAGAATTATTTTATTATGTTTCATTTTTATTATTTTATTACTTCCCTTCTACGTGACTTTACCGAAAGAACCAAGCAGGTCAGCCAGAGTGTCATGCCCCAGAGTAACCCTGGCTGGCTGACGCTCGCTCTCGCTCAGTCACTGGGAGCCGGCAGGCACCGCACGCTGCTCGCGGTGCCTCTGCGCTAACCAGCGCTCAGCCAACCACCGCTAGAGTTGGTACTGCAGCCAGCAACCCGGGCTACCCGCAATGCAGTGGCGGCTCCTGCAAAATCTCTCAGGGGGGGCAAATGTCTGGATGATTGATAAGGATAAGGTCCACCCATGCAATGGATAAATTAACAGCTTAAGCATGTAAAGGCAACTTCACTTCTTTAATATTAATGAAAAATAAAGTGACTCTTACAATACATCTTGTTTGTTTCTATACTCACTATTAATACAATCCACTCAAGTTTCTTTTATTAAAGATTCCACTAGGTGGCGACAAATTATATTGTTGGATGAAACGTATGATGATGTAAGCACGTTAGGGCGAGCCCTCCCGGAAGCCATAGAGAATGCATTGGAGCGCCCCCCTTCTAAAAAAAACATCTTTGAATGTAAGTCTATGGGGCCACTCGGGGCGATTCTCAGCCGGAGTGAAATCGCCCAAAAAGAGGCGGTACTCCACAGAACGTGACATGACGCTGATTTGACTATATCCAGAGGCACAGTGACGGCTAGCGTGACTCTGTGGTTGAATGACATTGGTGGTGCGTCGCACAATCGCCCTAATGAAGAAACCGCCCCTGCCGCAATGACAACATTACCGGCCGTGACTTCGCAAGTCCCGGCACCACACAGTGACAAGTACAGTCACTACACTTTTAAAATGTTCTAAGGGGCCGTCCATAAATGACGTCACGCGATTTTGGACGATTTTGGACCCCCCCCCCCCCCCCCCATTGTCACACGGCGTCACAAAAAATCTCTGCCCCCCCCCCCCCAAATAAAACATGCTTCAAATCGCTTTAAACTATTGTCATTGTAGTGCGTATTTAACGTGGCGCTGCACTCTGATGTTGTAGGAGAAAACATTTATTAAAAAGTCTATTTAATTAAGTAGAACGTGTTATCTATATTTATTTAAAGTTGCCCATTTTGATGTGACGTCACATTTCTCAAACCCCCCCCCCTCGTCACAAATCGTCACAAATGTCTGACCCCCCCACCCAGGTGCGTGACATCATTTATGTATGGCCCCTAAGGTAAAATGACATACAATTTGTCGATGCCGTATTTGACAAAGGTACATACTCGTTTTTAATTGCAACTGACTTAGAAAACATGTAACTGTAAATTTTTATTGCATTTTGACACGATGGATTTTTGAAGCATATTACTACATTTCGTTTTCACCAATAGACGGATTAGTGATTTTTATCTCGAAACCTGTTCATTATTTATGCCGATTTTTCAACATACCTGCATCGGGGTTAACATTTACAAGCTTAACATGCATCAGTTCCACATGCTTGCATTGCATCTCCATAAGTATTTATTTTTTTTTTGCTCTATAGGTCAGCAGCTGGGCTACAGAATGATAATTACATTTGCAATTTGAAATGTAGAATGAGATGTAGAAACGATTTCGTCCCTTTATTTGAAGCATTTGCCAATTTTCATTCACTTAAATCGAAAATGCTGGTTTTATTATGTATACATACTGTGTTGGCAGATCATTTTTATAATGGAGATAATTTTCAAGCAAGCTTGTTGTCAAGAATTCAAGATGAATTATATATGCATATGTCGGTAGCTTAGTAGAATGTAACAATGCACCGATGAATCAATGAATGTCAATTCTTAAGCTCACAATATGTGCATGGAATGGTGTGCGTATCCATTCACGTTTTACAATTCATGCATGTTGTTATGTAATATGTTTTAATGAGCCCAATCGTGATAATTAATCAAAACGCGAGTGAGCCAAATCATTACACATTTAAAATGTTGCTAAATTCGTATTATAAATGGTAGTCCTGCTTGAAGTAATGACGTTATGAGTGCAATGTTGAGAATTCTACTTGCTCTCGTGAATAAGTCCCCCTTATATTGGAACCTTGAAAAATAAACAGTAACGTAACCATCGCATGCATCACGCCCACTGTGGTGGACTGCTATGATTTACACGGCTGCTCTGAAATTATATGGGAGGTGGGGGGGGACCTCCCAATGTCACGGTTAAATACATGCAACTTAATGAATATGATGACAACGATGGTGATGAAACAGTAACTTTGGGGCTACACCGCTCCACTAAAACGTAAGTCTCATCTTGTGAAACGGCAGCGAATGTATTTTGACTCCTTCCGCGTTTCAAGCGTGCGGCGTGCGGTTGCCCGACTTGGTCGCTGATGTTTTAAACACGATTGACCCTGGGGCTCCTAAAGGAGGAGTCGCTAATGGATATTTATGCGACACATAACAGGGTCACGAAATCACTGCTGATGCTGCTGATGCTGCACACTGGGTGAAGGCCACGCAAAATAATTCAGGATAATCGTAAACTGAATTCACGACCATCTACGCACATGCTAATGTAAGACATTGTTGCCACGGCGTCAGGATGACGCAGGTCAGAGATTTCTGCATTTGATGTCCAATTTTCTCGATTCGTATGTATCACAACTAGCACATTATAGCATGACACATCGCTAAATTAATGCATGATGTTCTTGTTGTATTTGTGTTCACTCTTGCAGTGAATGCATAATCCATGGTGACTGCTCACGCAGTTATATTTATAAATTGAACAGTCTCGATCTATTCCAGCTTCTTAAACAAAGGCAACGCGATCGTTAATATAGAGTTAAGCCAAACGGCCCGATAATTGGGACCTTCCTGAAAGGGCCTTGAGACTCGGTGAGGCTTTACGAGGTACACGATAATTCTCTACAAATCTGGCTGTCACCTGATGATGATGCTAGTTGTAATATCTGGAGAAACGTCATACTCGAATTATGAATGTTGTGGGTTTACTTGCCAACACATCGGTGTGCTGTACTAGTAACGAATTGGCATGTTTTGTTTACGTGACATACCTTACTCATTGACTGTGCCGGGTGGTGGCGGGTCTAACGACGCATTTATATTTACACGATCTAACTCAAAAACCTATATTATGGGTTCCACGATAATTGTCAAAATTATATTACAAACTATTTATCTTGTGCAGCGCTTGAGCAATCAGCCACTGTGGTATTGTTGTGCCACGGTCCCATGACCACGGTCTATAACTAGTCAACACGCTTCGAGAAACCAGGAAAGTGATCTCGGCCCAATTTCCCCACGATAAGCCTTACCGCACAAAACTGCGCCGGCCTGACCAAGACCTGCGCTTTGATCCTTCAGGGCGAATGTGCTCAGCTATCCATTAAAATGAGCACACCGTGACGGACGGACAACCGAGCAAACGGACGTACCTTCCATGGTGGGTGGGTTGTACACACAGTCGCTGGTAGTAGTGGTAGCCTTTGGGACGTCACTGCTATCCGAGTCGGCGACTGCGCAGCCCTGCGGTGTTTGGTAAATAAGAAACCGCACATCAGTGATGCTCCGGTACCACTTGACCCTCCACAAGTGCCACCCAGAGGACCTTCGAGTGATTTATTTCGTCCATGTTTCCCGGACAACTCTTGTACCTAATTCATACCCAATCATGAATTGCATTAGTAGCAATTATAGTCGGCATAGCCTTTGTGCGTTTTTTGTTTTTGCAACGCAAAAATCCAATTTCACATTTTTAATTGTACACATTCATGGTGTCCCGTTATGGTTTTGTTATACAAGTAATTACATACAAGGGTTGTTTTTGTACTCTTTAAACTCTAGAGATGGACGTTACCTTTACCTATACACTGCGTGTTGAGGTGGGGTAACATTGACATGCCTTATAAATCCTGATTGCATTGCATGATATAAAATGTCTTAACCAGAGGAATTATGTTAATGTATTATATTAATAGCCCACAGTGCAAATGTATCACAGATTACAAGAACGTGTAGATTAGAGAACATAATGCAGGCGAATGGCATCGTTCAAACTGTCAAGTGAAGCAAATGGGCTTGGGTATGTACGTATAACTTATTTTGCACCGTACGCAACCAACCGTGCTAATCGGAGGTGCGGGGAATCAGAGGTGGGTCAATCGTGCAGGACATGTGCGAAAAGGGGTCATGACCGATGGTGACAAAAAGTGACGGAGTGGCAGCTAAGAGATGGGACGCATCTGGGATCGTGTCCACTGGGGGGATGGGGCAATGAAATAAGTTTGCTACAAATGAACCACAATACCTCGCTGATCTCGTAAACCATCACGCGAACTCCGGACATCCTCGCAGCATTTTTTGACTTGCCATCGAACAAAGACAGTCACTGCATCGTATGCTTTCAGATGCGCTTCTACGGCCGTCTGGAACGCTCTCTCCCTTACGATATTAGGAGACACTGGGAGCTATGCACATTTAAATCAAAATTGAAAACTAATTTCTTTAGAACTGCTTTCGGTGTTAAGTTTGTTGGTTGGCTATTTACAGAGCGAAAGAAGTTAAACATGCAGTACATACATAGTTTGCAAGTGCTCTGGATGATTTTTACACCGCAAGACCGCGGGAGATGGCAACGGCTTGGGTAGCCCTTTATCCAGGAGTGCATTAACCATGTGTAAGGACAGTATGGGGCCTAGTAGCCGTAAATAACATTGTGTAACAGTTGTTTAATTAATTGTTTGTTCCTGGGTAGTAAGTGTTATTTCCTAATTGCGTATGCCTCGAAAGTAGAGAAAATGTCTATTATTCCCCACCTTTTGTGACCAGGACAGTGATTTTTTTGAAATTTACCTATTTTCCAAAACATTCCAAATAGATTCAGTGCTGAGAAATCTTAAAGTAACTTCTACAAAATTATAGAACTTTCCAGTAATATAAATAGTAGTATAAATACAGGGGCCCGCCAGTTCAGTTTAGTTCCAGCTACCTAAGTGGATACATATCTGCATTTTTCTGAGATAGTAGCAAGAGGCTGCAAGCATCCGGCAGACGCATTTTGCTATGTCTGCGGCTAATTTATCAAGACAAGAGCGAAAAAGTACTCTGTGGAAGCATCTGCTAAGATGTGCGAGGCCTACAAGGCATATTTTGGCATGCCTGTCGGGGATCAGGATAAACCCTGGACACCTCATTTCACCTGCGAGCAATGAAAAAAAACCACGGAAGGTAAGATGGACAATTGTTGCTCAGAATTTTACGTTATAAAATTTGTTAAAATGAGAAAAAAAATCTATGTTATAAAAAAAATATATCACATATGAAAAATGTTGCGAGAATCTCTTACACATTAGTCATGGGTGAAATAAATGTATTTTCGTAGGATGGTCGAGGGGAAAAGAGAGCCATAAAGTTGGCTATCCCAAGAATTTGTCGGAAACCCACTGACCACTCAAGCAACTGCTACTTCTGCATGGTGGACCCTTCCAAACGTCGGACTGGCAAGCTACATAAAGTCACCCAGTTGTATATAGTCAACCTGCGTTCACCTGATAACATGTCATCGAGTCGGGTGGCTGTAATATTAAATATATGTATAACTTAAGCAAGACAGCACCTCTGAGTGCTACATTACACATGGGTAGTGATGATGATCACGATAGTACTTTGCGTGAAATCAAGAATCCTGTGGAGTGATCATCATCGCCACATTAATGTGGAATTTCAGCTATGACGTGCGTTTTGCGTGGGGAAAAATTGTGACGGCTTGACGCAATTGCAAACAAAATTGTAAGGCATTCTTCACGTGGGCATATACAACAATAATAATATATTAAATGTCTCGATGCTTATTGTGATCCACGTATTGATACCTCACTGATTTCTAATGAGGAATAATCCTCTCACTCTCTTCTCAACAGGTGGGATGTGCATGTTGTGTTGTGCGAGCGATGGCTCCCATATATTACAGAGAAGAGCGTTAATGGACTTAACACGTGCACCCACATTGGGTGGGAGACGTGTGAAAGCTTTGAAATAAAACGGAGGCTTCTCTATAAAGGTCACGTCTTTTGTGTTAGTGGGATATCAATAAATGGATCACAGTGTCTGTATTTTTCTAGTGTTCTTTTAATGCAACAATCTCGCACAATATTAACAAAGACACAGTCGCAATTCACGCGGCGAAGGCGATCCGCTATTCTTTTAAATCGGGGTAACCTCAGTGGGCTGGGGGTTTAGTCAGCAGCTGCCACTCCATGTGGCAGTGCACGATGTTGACGTGACAAGGGCAGTCTGCAGTGAAATTGTAAACAACGCACCACCCGGAATGATGGCGCCAATATCGTATGATCAGACTTGAGCCGAGATCGGGCTCGGATGGGTGACCACCACAAACCAACGGTGCGATAGACGTTCTGGCCAGCAGAGGGCAGTACAACATTATCCACTGTTTAACTTCTTTTGTGCCCTACGTAGCCAACCGAACTAATTCCACCTCCCACGCCCCCGGCCCCTCGCACCTTCAGCAACCCGCACAGACCAGCGTGTTGAAGTATGGTCACAATATCCGTCACACAGACCCACAACGCGTGGGTTTGTGCCGTCACCCGGCAGCAGTTAGACAAACGGGGCTGTACCTTGTGCAAGAAAGAGCACGGGACAACGTGGATTCACATCGCGCGCCCTCTAAATAAAGAAACTGCATCGCGAGGCGTTGCACACAGCGGTGGTTAGACGTGCATTGCGGGATAAATGAGGACAATTAATAGTTAACGCTGTAGGATACACATTTTAAGAGCAGAGACACGACGGGCCAGATGAGTAAAGGAAACGTCTAGAACTTGGACTCGAACAGAGGCAGGGAGTCGATCAGAAAGAGGGGCGAAATGAGGTGATGTGGTGGGGGATACGAGTGGGTTTCCGACTATGGAGACAACAGAGCATGAGGAGTGACCTCTCGCTCAGCGAATGTTGAGAGAACGCAATGTGCAATGTGGACATATATACAGCAGTCTATAGAGTCGGTGGTCTGGATGTCTTGTGACCCTAATTTAGTCTCTAAAACGTGATATTTTTCAAGTAAGATTTATTTAAAACATAAATGAATATGCAAAGGGTTCAATTCATTGGGGGCGGGTCACGAGACATATTGGACCGCCCTAAAGATGCCCCGGGTTGCTCGTTGCACAGTGGCACCAGAAACCCGCTTGGAACATTCTAGCAGTGAATCTATCATCGTTGTTTGGGCCGTGTACAAGTCTGTGTTCCACATCCACGCTCACGCTCCCCAATTGTCCTGGACAAGCTCCAGCGGTGGAACAAACAAACAAGACCCGTTCACGTTCAAGAGATGCCAACGAGCACACAGGTTGAGCGCGCAGACGCGTGCGGACCGACGAGGGAGAGAGAGGGTGGCTGCCGACTGCATGGGGCATATTGAATGCATCCACATGTCATTGTGGATGCTTTAGGTTGCGACGTTTATGCGTAGATAAGGCGCCGTGGAATGACGTTGACACGTCGCACAAAAGCGCTGTGTACCGCACGCGATCGCTGTTCATTGAGAGCACGGCACGGCCACTACCCGAGCATGCGGCCCTTGATCGTTCTATTTATCGACCGTGGCGTGCGCCTTTGTTGTCGCTCAACTTCAAGAGACTCACCTCCGAGGGATCTTGAGTCCTGTCATCTGCTCCCCCGTCGAGACAGAGGCGGAGACAGACAAAGATGAGTGAGTTCACGGCGAACTGTGTAACATCTCTTGCACATTGCGGCTTTTATTCATTGGACGGGTTATGAATGTATGTTAATTTCTATAACTTTTTTTTGTATTAACACAGAAGCCTGGTCGTTGTGATCATCGTGTTCTGTGCTGCCCTGCAGTGCACGCAGTGCACGTGTTGTGTCTGGCACTGCAGTGTACGTGTTGTGTTCTACACTGCAGTGCACGTGTTGTGTTCTACACTGCACGTGTTGTGTTCTGCAGTGCACGTGTTGTGTTCTACACTGCAGTGCACGTGTTGTGTTCTGCAGTGCACGTGTTGTGTTCTACACTGCAGTGCACGTGTTGTGTTCTGCACTGCACGTGTTGTGTCTGGCACTGCAGTGCACGTGTTGTGTTCTACACTGCAGTGCACGTTTTGTGTTCTACACTGCAGTGCACGTGTTGTGTTCTGCAGTGCACGTGTTGTGTCTTGCCCTGCAGTGGACGTGTTGTGTTCTACACTGCAGTGCACGTGTAGTGTTCTTGCAGTGCACGTGTTGTGTTCTACATTACGTGATTAGGCAAGAGGAGCCGCAATACAGTCCCTCCAGAAAAACGCGATTATGCGATCGCAAGATTCCACGCAAAATCAGCCAAAGTCCGCATATTTATGCGGGGGGCGCGTTTTTTCAAATACGCCGCACTTTCGCCGCATATGCGGGCTTGCATGATTTCATAATCCCCGCATTTTCGTTGCAAAAAGTCACATATATCTTAGCAGAAAGTTGAAAAATGTTGCGTTTACTTCACACAAGCGCAGCCATTTCCCCTGTTGCCATGGGAACGTTATGAAGTGTTAGAGGCTACGTAGTTAGTTTTATTCAGGAGTTTATGTAACTTTACAGTTGTAAGATTGCACTTTTTTGTTAGTAGTATGTAAATTTACATTACTGTAAGACTGTAATGTTACTGTATTGCTTACGTTACTGTGCACTGAAAACACTTATTTTAACAGAAGATGTCTGTTTTGTATAGCTACCTCTGTAAAACAGGAAGCACACATTTTATTTTTTAATATTTTATTTATTCATTTTTACAGAAGTTGTAGCATATTCATTTTGTAAAGCTACAGAACTTGTTCGACTCAATGTTTTGTAAGTTTGAGCCATCTGTTTGTTAAGGTCTGAAATAAAACAAGATGAGAACTTAAATATTCCCAGCGCTTTCTGTGATGTAGTATGCTTGCTTATCATAGGAAGTAATAAGAAATTACTCTTTACATTAAAGTAGTAGCCTAGTGAATAGGGTGTTGGGGGAATCACTTTTTTTCTCTTTTTCATCAAACCGCAGTTTTTGCAAGTTCCCGCAATTTAATCGCATAAAATTGCATAAATATCCCGCATATTCCATCGCATTTTTTAAGAAAACGTGCCGCATAATCAACGATTTTTGCCCGCAACAATCACCAAAAAACTCCGCGTTTTTCTGGAGGGACTGGCAATAGACAATAGCCTCTGGGTGCGACCGTGCGAGACAAATCAATTATTGGGGCCCCACCTGACCGATTGCCGCACCCCCTGAGCTGATAATTTCGTCACTACGGCACTGGTTTGTGGTCCTGTCCTGCCCTGCTGTGCTTGTAGGAGCTTCCCTGATCACGTCCCGTACCACCGTGCCCCCATTATGCCCCAGTGCCGTGCCGTACCACCGTGCCCCCATTATGCCCCAGTGCCGTGCCGTGCCACCGTGCCCCCATTATGCCCCAGTGCCGTGCCGTATCACCGTGCCCTGTGTAGGCCTCTCCGTGCCTCGCACTCAGCGCAAGTGCTCCTCGTGCCCTGCCCCACTCTGTGTGTGCGTGTCAGGACACGGTGTCCCACTGGGCCTCCCTTTGTAGCGATCTTCCCTGAAGTTGCCCCCTTTATTGTCACCACTTACCTGGCTGTGACGCCTGTTCGTTCATGACCACCAACTTGGCCGGAGTGGGACGTCTCCTCCTAATCTGATACCGCGCAACACAGATCGATGCAGTGATGAATACATATACCGTATATGTCAACAGGTGCATTCCACGTGTACAGCCCCTTTTGTCAATCCACTGCTGAATTCGGCAACGAAACATCTCAATACTTCAAGAGCCGGAATAAATAACGCTCGCGAAGCAGTCCCTAAAAAGACGCATGCTGCTCGGGACCGGCCGGTTGCCGACCCCTGGACTCATGGGTATTGTTTGAATGTACGTCGCCACGCTGTTCAGTGCGGATTGGTGAAGGGGTGGAGGAATCTAGCAGTAGAGCACAGTACAACAATTCATTTTTTCTGCACTGCCCTCTTCTGCACAGGACGCAGCCGTGCAGCAGCCGGCACCGCGCTGGAGTGCGTGGTGGTTGCTCATTTCAATCGGACGACCCAGGTTCAACACTGCTTAGCTTTGCCAAATCTCAGAGCGGACAGGAACATTCTATATTCTCTGGTTCTTTCGGTAAAGTCACGTAGATAGAAAGAAAAAAAAGATGAGAAAAAACACGTTTCGGTCGCAACACACGCGGCCGTCTTCAGGTGAGAAAAAATTATCGATTTAGCAATTTAATGACAAGGCTGTAGGAGTTTCTCATCTGAAGACGGCCGCTTGTGTTGCGACCGAAACGTCGTGTTTTCTTTTATTATTTTTCTACCCACGTGACTTTACCGAAAGAACCACAGAGCATGGATTCCTGCAGCCACGAAAGCTTCAAATCAAGAAGGAACATTCTAGCCCAATTTCGTCCAAGGTCTCTGTACAGGTGCATTGCGTTTTTAATTGAAATTTAATGACAAGCTACAGTATTTCGACTGTGTCCTTGCGACCAAGACTATGAACCGTTTCTTAAACCACGGTGGTGTGTGCTCTTTCAACAAAGGAGGAAGAGCAAAACCACGAACTGTCTCTCCTGACGCCCTCTTGTCGTGGCCAGCAGACCTCGACATTGGCATTTAGCTCCTGAAAATATTGCCACATGCAAAAATAGAAACATTTATTGAAACCACGTGTTGCTATATAATGCACTTTTATAATCAGTGTTGTTAACACGTCTATATTTATAAAGATACGCTGGTCCCAATGGACTCTTACTTGATTACAAAAAAGATTACTTGTACCCATAAGAAAATGTAATTTTATACATTGTCGGTTTTCAATCCCTAGATGAATAATCCCTGAAGATGTTTCTTCATTTTGTTGAGCAGTTGCTCAGGAAATGACCTTAAGCCTAAAAACAAATCACTCTCAATTTCCCCGCTCTCATTGGATCTTGGAAGCTCAGCGGCGTTGAGTCGTCTGGTTAGAGCTGAGATGAGTGAGCATGCAGGAACCGCAAATGTTGAACAACAGTTGACATTGTCGTGTGGCATCCCCTCGTATGCATGGTCTGTTTTCTCAAGGTCCTCTGGTGCCTCCCCATTGAAGCGCAACACTCATCAGTGTTGTTGGCCAAAGGTCACAATTAATGGACCCGCGTCAACAAGCATCTCGAGACTCAGGGAGGGTTTTCTGGATAATTCATTCGTATTTTGTTTTCTAGAAAAATAGCTGAAATAAAAAAAATGTATCTGGTTATGAACAGCTATGTACCTCTCTTTCACAATCATATCCCTGACCTATATACAGTAATTTTTTGTTAAAAAACACAATGGGTGTTTTGTGAGACGATTGTGGTGTCCTCGTGAGCTTATACGCTGGTGGATTTGTATCAGTGACGTGCGGTGAGGTCAATAGCTGGGGAGGCACTGGCTCGTGTCAGAGCCAGATTCACACACTGAGGGGGGCGTGGCCTCACTGAGGGGGCGTGTCCTCGTTGAGGGGGGCGTGTTAGACACGTCCCCCTCGGTGAGGCAGATGTGATAGCTGCCTCCCCTGGTGCTTTTTCATTGCAGTTTCATGACGAGACCAGCGTGCCTAAATATCTCTATACACATACGTGAAATAAGTTACCTGGAGTATGGAATGCGAGGACATGAAATGAAGGGGTCTACAAACATCACATTGGTGACATGCCGAGATAGTAACAGACACGCGCTTATTGCCCACGCTCCATCCAGTTACTGCGCAATCAGAGGGGAGGCTGAGCTCGTCGCTGCCTCACCTCTCGTCTCTCCCTGTATTTGCAGCGAAGCTCCGCAAATTTGGCGATTTTGAGTATAAAAATGATTGGAATCGTACAGAAGTGACATTGATAACACAGAACAGTGGAAAAATCTTAATATTTATTTTATTTGATTATTCTTTTTTTTTTACTTTTCGTAACAGCTATTTTCATTGGAGTATAACAGGTGAGGCTCTGCATCCCCTGCCCCCCCTGCACGTCCCTGATTTCTATTGGTGTTGTATATTAAAATTGGAGGCTTTATACAGCATAACATGGCTTAAAGTATTGGTCTGTACTCTTTGGTTCTTTTGGTAAAAAATTCAATAAAATTAAAATTAACATATCATGACAGTTTCGATCGCAACACAAGCGGTCGTCCTCAGGTGGAAAAAAAATCCAGCAGTAGAACTGCTGAACCAGCGAGAGAGCTGTTACAACAACAAGAGGTTATTTATGTGGCGAAGGGTAAGCAGGCGGGGTCTGAGCTGGAACGGAATTGCATCCCCGGACGCAAGCACGTCAGTTGTGTTAATGGGGGAGATTAGGGTGAGAGATTAGGGAGAGAGATTAGGGAGAGAGATTAGCATGAAATAAGCTTCCGTCGCCGCATAAGAGTATCGTCCCTGCATGTGCGCAAAACAGCAGCGTTAATGGGAGATTAGCACTATGTTGATGGGAGAAATTAGGCAGAGAGATTAGGGGGATTAGCAAGTTAATGTCATGTCTATGTGTAACACAAGCTGCGGCGCTGCCAACTGCGCTGTGAGAGGCAAGCGCGTCCACGCAAGAGAACCACCGCAACGGTGGCCAAGCCAGTGAGACCCCAGCCCGTTAATGCACACATAGACATGACATTAACTTGATAATCCCCCTAATCTCTCTCCCTAATCTATCTCCCTAATCTCCCCCATTAAAACAACTGACGTGCTTGCGTCCGGGGATGGAATTCCTTTCCAGCTCAGACCCCGCCTGCTTACCCTTCGCCACATAAATAACCTCTTGTTGTAACAGCTCTCTCGCTGTTTCAGCAGTTCCACTGCTGGATTTTTTTTTACGCCTGAGGATGACCGCTTGTGTTGCGATCGAAACGTCGTGATATATTATTTTTTATTTTATTTTATTTTTCTACCAACGTGACTTTTCCGAAAAAACCAAAGAGTATGGAATCCTGCAGTCACGAAAGCTTCAAATAATTATTGGTCTGTACTAGAGGGTTTTTTTTTTTCAAAATTGGACCTCAGAAAATCCTCACAAAAACTACCTGTGCCTTTGCTAGATTTTTCACGGCCATGTGCTCCTAGTTCCAGCAAGCTAAACTTGATGCAAACTCCCCCAGTCGACTGCTGGCCTGAGGAGAGGTTATCCCCTTCTCAAATGCTGCCCTCTTTGTAACTCCTCCAAATTCGAAAATACGGATTCTTATAATTAATGTAAGGTGTCAAAGACTCACAGAGCCAAAGTTAAACATATTTAGCATCCATACATTTGGACAGTGGTTAGCACATTGCACTATGACCCCGGCGGGCCTGAGTTCAATTCCTGGCCAAATTCTTGACAATTGATATTCGAACTGATCCTCGGCACCCTTCATCCCTTTACCAACCCTCATTGACCAGCATGGTGAAGTATGATCATATAAACTCCCATGACTGACATGGTGTGAGAAGGCATTCATCCAGCAGTGCAGTGACAAAGGACTGTGTATTATTGGGTGTTAATGGAAGCGTGCGAGACTCAACAAGATAAGCTAAAGTTGGGTGACCATTAAATGATCAATAGTCCAGTGGGAGAATGAAACACCTATGGAGGTGCCTAGTTATATGTTATCAATGCAGACCAGGTGTGCATGGCTGATTGAAGTACTACTTGAAAAGCTGCGCCTAAAGCACAAATGCTCATCTGGGCTCAATTTGCAACATTGAATGAGGAGTATGCAACGAAAATTGGGCAATCATTTGCTTCAACTACGGATAAATACTCGTTGGTTCTTTCGGTAAAGTCACGTAGGTATAAAATAAAATATATCACGACGTTTCGGGCGCAATACCAGCGTCCGTCATAAGTTGATAAATCATTATTCATTTTTTTGTATCTTGCCGGGAGACCAAAAATATCTGTTACAGTATTTACTTTGCAAATACAACCTGAGTCACAGTATTAATTATGCACCGCCGTGGAATATCGTGGGTAATAAATAATAAACAGATAAACATCTCATCATGGGATCTCCCTTGCACGTCCTGGCAATACAACAGGTGTTAAGATGTTAAAACACTGATTGGTCCACACCAGAGACAGATTCCTTTTAGAGCCTGGTCTCAAACGGTGTCAGACCAGAGGACGCCAAAGGGCGAACATCACAAAGACAATGCACTATCAGGACATTGAGAGCCTTTTGGCGTCCTCTGATCTAACACTGTTTAAGACTAGTCTCTAAAGAAAGCTGCCTCTGGTGTGGACCAATCAGTTTCAAAGACAATGCATATACTATCAGAGCATGTTTAATGCAGACATGATTCCTTGCAAAAGGTTTCTGTTTGGTATTTTTACATCTTAACACCTGATATATTAATACTCCCGTTCTATTGCGAGAAACGGTAAACCCTTTTCTTAGATAAACATCTGTTTGGCCATTTTTTCAATAACCGTTCCATCTGTCTCACCTGTCTTACCCTTGCACCCGTGCTCCAGTCAGCATCTCACCTATGCCACCCTCGCTCCAGTCAGCATCTCACCTATGCCACCCTCGCTCCAATCAGCATCTCACCTTTTGCCACCCTCGCTCCAGTCAGCATCTCACCTTTTGCCACCCTCGCTCCAGTCAGCATCTCACCTGTGCCACCCTTGCACCCGTGCTCCAGTCGGCGTCTCACCTGCTCAAGCGCGGCGGGGTCGAGTTGCATTTGCCCGGGCGGCATGACAAACTGCAGCTTCTTGGGGCTCCGTTGCTCCACGGAGTCCGCTGTCTGCACTCGCCCAAGCTGCACCCGTCTCTGTTGCTCGGAGCTGTCCATAGCGGGACTGCTGAAGATATGGCTGGATCAGGGTCAGGTCAAGCCTGCACTGATGTCTATCAGACGTATGGTAAAATCGAAGCTTAATGCTTTGCTAAAATACAGTTTAGTCAGGCTGGCCCCTAAATCTTTTTTTGCGTCTTGTTATATAGATGTGAGTTTGGCAAATATTACTGCAGACGGGGATGAACGTTTGATAGCTTTTGAGCGGCCAGTTGGGAGACAGTGCAGTGAGACAAGAGATCGGTAGGGTGAGAGAGGAGATCGATTTGGTTGAGGATATAGATGACGGAGGACAGCTACGGGAACCTTAAACTGCCCTGAGCTCTGCTGACTGCAGGAGCGAAGAGTCTCTGCATTTAACCGTGCTCAGACATAGGGGTGGCTCGGGATGCGTGGGAGCAGAACGGAGATTGGGCAACGGAGCGAGCGAGCGAGAGAGAGAGCGAGCGAGGTGTTGAGCTGTGGGAGGGACAGGGAGGTGCTTGGGGGGAGATCGAGTGCCGGGTTTGTAAGTGGGGTTGGGGGGGCGTTATGAAAAGGTACGATGGCAACAGAGGAGTTGGTATCAGATTACGCCATGGAAACGTCTGGAGCGGTGGTGGCAATGTTGCTGGATTAACGTCAGTGTAACTTTGTTTCATTTCGCAAAAATACGTTGTGCAGACACACTCTGCAGGGATTTGCTGCATTTAGAAGCAGGTGGTGGCCAACAGAAACACCACTGAGGATGTTATTTTGCTTAATGTGGGAACCGTGGCAGGTTTCAACATCTTTTTTTAAACGTGTCTTAGCTACTTGCTATCATGTTTATTGCAAGTCGCGGTGGATTTGTTTTATAACCGGTATCCGAGACATTTCGGGACTCTTATTTAAAAAGCGCCCATCGTTGGAGCAACGAAATAATACAACAAAGCAACTTCTAGCTCAGCCTTGTCTCATACTGAAGGTCGGTATATCTGCTGCACGGTTAAGGAATGTAACTATAAAAAAAAAACATTGTGTAAAAAAAAACATGGAAAGGGAATATTCAGGACAATATGAAAGGGAATAATGAATTAAAAGCAAAGGTGGACGTCCCGAGGGCGGTTCTTGACGAGCTCACCACTATCTCAGGGAACGTCAAAGCACACACAGAGGTCACGGGGGCTCTGGGGGCAAAGCGTGCATGTGGTAGGGTTGAGTCATTCCCACACCCTCGACACGCAAATCCGAACCGCACGCACCATTCATATGACGCTGGCCTACTGCTCTCCTGTCATCAAATTACACCACGGATTCTTCAATGTCCACTCTGAATGAGATGGCGCGGAGCGTCTCGTGGTTAATGCACCCGCAGTATTACAATCTTACGAGGTCGCGCTCATTACACACGGAGTGCTTGCCACAAATGAACTACAATACATCTTGATTTAAAGCTTTCGTGACTGCAGGAATTCATATTCCCTGGGTTTTTCGGTAAAGCCGTACGTGGCTTTACCGAAAGACCCAAAGAATATGAACTACAATATCTTGCTGATCTCGATAAGGAGCTCAAACCATCATGTAAATTCTGATCAACCTCGCAGCGGGATTTTGGCTAACCGTCGAACAAAGACAGTCACTGCATTGCACGCTATCAGATGCGCTTCTGCGGGCCGCCTGGAACGCTCTTCTTGCCGATATTAGGAAGCCACCGGAGCTATGCACTTTTAAATCTAGATTGAAAATTAATTTTCTTTACAACTAATTTTCGTCTTTAGTTTGCTGTCCTTCCCCCGGCACCACCGATTATTAGTATGGTTGGCTACGTACGATGCAAAGGAAGTTCAACACACGGTACATAAATGGGGACCAAATCTCCTGAAAGGTTGAGGGTCTACACTGCGTCGCGGAGCTGAAGTTCCGCAAGGATGCCAGGCGGAAGAGGCTGCCAGACCAGGCTCGAGCATGGTGGCACATAGTAATAATAATAATTTTGCTGAGTGATAGGCGAGTGAAACTGCGGTGTACATATCTGAACGTGAGCAAAACACGCGCGCTTGTAAGTTTGCGCACTTCAGGGCAGCACAGGGTGCCGGCACCTCTGGCTGGAATTGAGCTCTGTCCTGACATCGTTTTGCCGTGCAGGAATAAACGTTGGTTTAAATCAAAGTGAGCTGACATTATTTGCATTAAAACCGTGATCGGATGCAATCCTTTTGTGTATGTCAGTGAGACGCATGGGTAATATTTTGCCATAGCTCCAAATGCCTTAGTTCTAATCAGCGATAGTTGTCAATAATATGATCACACATTATCACCGATGACTGCAGAAAAGAAAGCCGAGCTCGTTAAATACGGTTCTACACTCAGTGTTGCCCAATTCCAACATCTGAGAACTAAAAATATCGGGTTGACTGTTGTCGGTAGCAGAACCCATGGGAGGCGTCACCCCCTAATGTGTAGAGTAGAGGTCACTTGTCAGGATTTCAGAGGTAGCTCTGTGATATTTGCTTTTGTGGGATTTTTTTCTAACATGAAGGGCTGCACTGCTACTATACAGCTTCCAAATGTAAATACCGTCCTCTCGTGACACGATGCCGAACACACAACTCAAGTAACTCAACAAAACTGACACTTTTTTTTACAAGGAGTCATGTTTGCATTGACCACAATATCTGCGGTCGGAATGCAAACAAAAAAACACAACTCTGATAATGTATGCATTGTCCTTGAAATTGATTGGTCCACACCCGAGACAGCTTTTCTTAGAGCCTAGTCTCACATGGTGTTGGACCAAATGAGGCCAAAAGGCGCACAACTCAAAGACAATGCACCATCAGAGTATGAAAGCTCGGGTAAGCATTTACACCATTGGAACCTCCTTTACCAGTAGCAAAATGTGATAATTGGTTTTTTACCCTTTTATCTAGCAAAAAAACTGACACCTTTTTTACAAGGAGTCATGTTTGCCTTGACAATTCATGTGGTCGGAATGCAAACAAACACAACTCTGATAATGTATGCACTGTCCTTGAAAAAAAACAATTATCATATTTTGCTACTGGCAAAGGAGGTTCCAATGGTGGTGTCAAATAACTCAATTTAATAACTCGCACTGACAAGCGTGGTGAAGCATGGTCACCCAATCCCCCCTACTTCCCCTACCCCCCACCCCATACCCCCCATGACCGACACAGTGTGGTGATGCATTCATCCAGCAGTGGATTGAAAACGGGCAGTAAATAATAATTTACATTTGAAAGCACATTTCCCAATGTTCCAGTGGAATCATGCAAGCCTCAACAAGCTGAGATACGGTGACCTTTCAGCAATTGCCACTTTAGTGGGGGAAACAACAGATCCCCCTGCGGGGCAGCTTCGTGATACATTACCAGTGTACACCAGGTTTGCGTCCAATAGGGCTGCACATTTTCTTTTCAGAGATTTGGGTTTAACGGCTCTGAGCTTCGAAAACGTTCACAATAAGGGACGTTTTCGTGATACGCTGGTGGTGGCGGTGGTGCACAAGTACAGCTAACACAATCGTCGATAGCATTGCCCTCAGAGGACGCGAATATAATTAGCGTCGTTTTGGACGATGGCCCTGCTTCGTAGCACAGAGCTCATCTTAGCATGACTTTCAACGAAAAAAAACTTGTCCTTAGCGGACCTCCTAAATGTGTGAGCGGTTCCTCCAATAAATCTAAGCATGCTAGCAATTACAAACAGATTACACTTCGCATATAACAACACTAGTTTCATGAACGCACAAAAAATACAGCTGTGGTTTCGCACCAAAAAAAGGTGAAATCGTTTACACAGCGCCTGTAACCGGGTAATTTAAAGGGTCCGTGTGGGACTCGGGCCATTTATCCAGCACATCTCTCTTGTCAAATTGACACAGACTGGGAAATAAAAAAAAAAACAACCCTCAAAACTAAAAGGGTGTAGTTATCTGGGTCTGCAAGGCTGTGCTGCTGTCTTTATAGCCTGCCTAGCACAAGCACTGCAGAGGTTGACATGTCAGTTAATGCCACAAAGACAACAAGCCCAAGTGCATAGACATTGCTTTTATGGCTTTATTTTGGTGATTTCGAAACGTTTTTTGGTTTGGCCATGTTTGTTTATTGTAGTACGGAGTTAGACTGATGTCATTAATCTGAGTTGTCTTGTGATTGTTGTTGTTGCTTAACTTGCATCCCACTGGGATTTTTGCACACAGCGTTGGTGTACGGTGCTTTTTCTAGAAGATTTTTTTGCTTTTTTTTCCTGGATTTTTCTGTTTGCGCATAGTGACTTTGAGATGTTTTCTTGTTCATGTTTTAGTTTTTTGTTTGTTGCGGTTGCACCCGATTCAAGAGCCGAATGGCTCACAGGGCTATACCTATTAAATGAAACTGAAAACTGAAACTGTCTCGACTCGTCAACTCTCTGCGAAACTGGGGTGTTGAGAAAATACGCTGATGTTCATGTTTGTAAAATAATTACTGGTTATATCATCGTGTGATCATGATAAACATTTGAATTTACAAAAAAGAAATTCGGTGTGCTTTGGAATTATCTATGTCAAGCATATTACCCACACAGAGTTGGCAATGTTAATGGGGAGATCGTGAACAAAGCGCCTGTTTCACACCCCTCTGCGTGAAAACACCTTCAGCTGCATCCTCGAGAACTGCGTGTACAACATAATTTGGCACGTGTCGTGACAGATGCTGCAAGATCCGACGATGTCCGCCCAGTGCTCGCTGAACTGAATTGGCTTCTGAATGCCGAGCGAGTACTGTACATCAATAAGGTTGCACTCAATACACACAAAGTGCTTGCCGCACATGAAGAACAATACCTTTCTGATCTCGTCAAGCAGCTTAAACCATCACACGAACTCCAGTCATCCTCGCAACAGCGGCTTTTGGTAAGCCATTGAACAAAGACAGTCACTGCATCGCGCGCTTTCAGATACGCTTATGTAGACGTCTGGAACACTCTTACCGATATCAGGAAGCCACCGGAGCTATGCACTTTTAAATCCAGATTAAAAATGTATTTCTTTACAACTGCTTTTTGTGTTTCGTTTGTTCACCTCCCCCAGCACCTACGTATGGTTACCAACGACAATGGACCGACAATATTTTAAAAGCATTTAAACGACTCGAAATTGTAGCACCTCCAACACTTCCACGGACCATTCCCCACCAGTGGTCAGGAACCACTGCTCTCGATCAAACAGATAATCCAGGGAGCCAGTCAGGTCCACGGCCTGCATAAAGCGAGGAGCAACATCATCCAGCGGTGGATTGACAAGAGGGCTGTGCGTGTGGATGGAGGCTATTAAGCGGTTTGGGGGGGGGGGCGAGAGCTAGGAGGCGGTGCTACAGCAGCACAGCTGATGTCTATTAATTGTAGAAGAGCTGTAGCCAAGGGGAATAAGGGATGTGAGG